TAGCCCTGTCTCAAGAAGTGACAGCTCGATTGATGACAAGAATGTGCAATAGTCTGAAGTTGTGATTGGGACTACGTACAAATCTGTGGCATGTTACTCTGGTGTAGGTTGCACGATAAGTCGCTTTGTCGTCGGGGGAGCACCAACTGTAGCCCGGTATTCTGGAGAGAGGTGGACATTGAGCTACTTAATTTCCAAGCGCTGTCTATCTTTGTACATAGATAAAGAAGTCTAGACCCGACCAAGGTCTGAGGGGACATCCGAGTTTGTGCACGGGCTACTGCAGGTGTGACACTGTGCAACATAGCCCTTGAGATCGTTCGCATTTATGACGGCCATTTGTGACCCTGGGATAACTACAGGCACCAAGCAGACGGAAGTAAGGAGCACGCGGATGGGATGCGGCTGCCTGAACTTGATGATAATTGAAACTCCGAAAATGCGTTGAGGCGAAGAGGTCGCAGAGGGGTGACACAAGGGTGACACCGATGAAGAACCAAGAAGCGCTGAAATCTCTCATCAGATTCAGTGTTATTCGCGAATTGTCCTGGGGATTTTAATTCTACTTTTGACAGAAGAGTTTCAAGTTTTGTCAGTCAACGGTCTTGTCCTCTTTGCGTGGGTTGCAGTCCTTTTAATTTTTTTGACTTGATACTGAACAACTCCAAATTCATCTAGTACCCTAATATTTGGTTGGCTATTCGTTCCTTGTGTGGAACCGTGCCACTCCGCTTGAGAGAGAGTGAGCGCGTAACAGCGTGGGCCAGTCTCCTAGGTGCTCCAGTATTGTCAGATTCAGTTTCTGGTTTTAAAGTCTTACAAGGTATGTTCTCATCATATGTTATCTCCCCTTCAAGATATCGATATCATGCTTATGCCATTGTCGCCCGTTCCGTGCTATCCGCAGTACTACCTCGACCCTTCCTCAAGGTTTGACTACATCATATCCATGCACCATCAGGATCACGCTATCCCTCAATCCAACATGCCTCCTGCTCGTTCCCCTCAAATCGACCCAGCTTTATCGCTCTACCCCCCTTACTACTCATATCAACAAGCCTCAGCAGCACATCAACCACCACCTTACAGTTCCTCAGAATTTACCTTCACCATCATCACAAGGATCGGACACAATAGGCACACCCCCAAACGACAACCTGTCTTACTCACCTGGCAATTCAAACGGGAAGAGACCTTCCTCTTCCCTAGTCGGTGCGATGGGTGATAGTAGCAGGAAAAAAGCACGCTCAGAAGACAGCTTAGACGGGCACAGTCCTGGTGCTGACAAGGACGAGCCGAAGCCAAAGACCACCAGGGGTTCACGGTGAGCTCACTCACTCACTTAGATTGCATGACCCGTAACAATGCTGTTTAGCGCGTGTACGGTCTGTCGGCGTCTGAAAATGAAATGCGTTGGTGCTGAGCAAGGCCCCCCTTGCCAACGCTGCATCACTGGGAACCACGAGTGCATATTTGAGGAGTCCAATCGAGGCAAACGGTCTACCAAGTATGTCTCAATTTCATGTATCTTGCACAAATGGCCAACACTCAAGATAAAGTCCAAGAAAACATGAGCTCCTCACTCGCTCATTAAAGAAGATGGAGAAAACTCTGGACACTGTTCTTAAGTCTATCGGTAACCCAAGTATGGTCTCTGGCATGGTATCAAGATCGCCCTCTCCGACAAGTCAAGCTGCACAAACCCAGGCGCTTCTGGCAACACCATCGCCTCCTCCCCAGTCTGCCTATCCACCATCATCGAGCGCCAATGCCTCTGCTTCCCCAAAGCTTCATTCCCTTCCCGATAACTCGCTTAACCCTCTCGGGCTGCTTGCCGAGGCAAGCTTGGCAAACCGACGTGCCCAGGGCATCTCGTCCTCATTCTCAGCGCGCCCAGCTGATCCCGATCCTGGCCACAAGTTGGGTGTGGCTAGTGATAATTATTTTAGGCCAGGTTCGTAGTTGCTTTTTCGCACGTTGTCTATTTGGCAAATTGGCAACGTTCTAGGCCCGATGACAATACTCCCCCTGCGACGCTTGTATATCGAACGGCAAATTCAGCCCGAGATGCTGAGCTTTGTTAGCACCGAGCAAGTGGTTGCGCTATTTGATATGTGAGTACTGTGTCATACACCTTGATGCCGACCTGATCGGCTGCTAGCTTCTTTGACCATTTGAACGTCCGTACTACGTGCTATCACGCCATGTGGTGCCGTATCTAAATACTCTTTGTAGGTGCACTGTGAACTCTTCGATAGAGAGTTCCACACGCCCTCACTCGTTTGTTCCCGCTCGCCATTTTTACTGACAACCAGTAAGTTTACAACTCCCCATATGTGCAGCGATTTATCTTTCGCAGTTTGTGCGATATCATCGAAATTTTACACCCAGCGACCGGAACTTCATCAGCAACTTGCGGAGCTTGCACAGAAGCTCGCGTTTAGCGTACCTGCCAAAGGTTATAAATCCCTTGAAATTGTACAAGCATATCTCCTCCTCACTCTTTGGGGATGCGGTGCCGTAGAACGCTACGAGTACGACAAGACATGGTTGTTGTTGGGAATGGCCATTAGGTTTGTATTCCTTCATTTCGTTGACAGCTTGTACTCAGTGACGTCTGTCATTCAGGATGGCGACGGACCTGAACCTGCATCGGAAGACAACGATGACTAGGCAAGATACACCAGAAGGTCAGGCTCGGGACAAGGAGGTCCACAACCGTGAGCGAACATGGCTCTTGTGCTTTGCCCTCGACAGAAGCGTGAGTTCTCAAATGGGAAGCCTCACTCTATCAAAGAGGAGTAAGTTGGCATCATTTCTGTTTTTCATCTCTAATCATTGTATCTACCAGCTTTGTAATCCGCAATGCACTACAGTGGTTGAAGTCCCCCGTTGGACAGCCAGGTGACACCGCTTTAGCAGCATACGTCGTGCGTATTCATTTATCGTGATTTTAATGCATAGTTTGATCTCATCCTCTACCAGGAATTACAGCGGATTGTATCCAGGAGCCTAGACTTCCTGTATTCGGGCACTAATACCCCGTCCGGTTTACAGACCGACTGCGATTACTTGATCATCATTAAAACTATCGAGACCCAGATACTTGCATGGCAACATGAATGGACGACTACTCGACCTTTGTCAACTCGTAAGATACCTTTATTTGATGCAATCACCTATGTCATGCTTACCATTTGTTTAGCCGATCAAGTCATGCAGTCGCAATGCCAAACCGCGATGAAGTTTTACTTCCACTACTATATGTTAGTCGTGAACTCTTTTGGACTGCAGAACGCCATGGAGCGTTCGGCGGTGGATATCGGCCACTTCTTTTCGCGGTGTTATACGTCGGCTACGGCAGTGGCTATTGTCGCGCGAGACGAGCTTGCGCCGATGGGTATGCTGAAATATTCGCCGGATTCACATTTCGTATACATTTCTTACGCGGTGCTCAGTTTGCTCAAGGTACTTTGATATCATCGTCCATCACTTGTCATGATCCTAACATAGATCTCCAGCTTATCCGCCCGGAGTTCCAGCAGTTCATCGAGAACGAGCAGAATATCATCGACCTCGTCAAGGACGTTGCGAATGTTCTCGCAGATGTCGCCATAAACTCTCATCATACCCCAGCGCTGTACAGCACATTCCTGCGGGCCCTAATCACCGCTCGCACAGATTCACCACAAGAGCCTGAAGAGGTGTCACCTGGGGACCAGTCTGATAGCATGAGCCATAGTGACATGGCTAACAACATGAACAATTCTGCGCTCTTCGGCGGTAATCCAACGATGGGAACGAATGGCATCAATGGCATGAGTGATTATTCGTTCGCGAGTGAGATGGGTCCTGTTGCGGATATTTCGACTTTCCCTCCCACTATGGCTGATATGCCATCTTCTGACGAACACATGGGTATGCTTTCTATGGAGAATATCCTGAGCAATGGATTCTGGGACAGTGTGTTGGTGCCTGGTAAGCATACATCAAGGAAACGTACTTCCGACTGGCCTTTCTGACGTATCTCAAAACAGGTTATTCAGACACCATGGAAGGCCTGAGCGGCGGCTTCGTGTTCGGAGCTGGAGGTAGTGGACTAATCACCCCCGGTTGGCTCCCTTCCCCCATCCCATCGGGCCAGAACACCCCAATGCGACATTCAACCATGGACTTCGCCCAACAAAATTTAGTCTCTGTATTCCAACAGAGAAAGTAATTATATAAACTATGCGTTTCATGTTCATGTCCATGTTTCACCTTTTTGTCATATATGTTGTTCTTGTTGTCGTTGTGCTCAATTACATTTCTCGTGTGGTCTACGTACAGTACATATCGGTCGTTTGTTATCATTGGTTGGCGGATCCCCTTCGCTGTGCTTTGTTTTATCACATTTTATTCCATCGAGACAATGTATAATATTTTGTTTCACTGAGCACAAGTTCTTTCTTGAAATGATGTGTAATAAAGTGATTGTCTATGGCGCTTCAAATTCAAACCTAGTTTCTCCAGATCATACAAGAGTCAAACCCCGTGGGACAATATTTTGTCCCAGGCCATCGTAGAAGTTCGTATGAGGCTTTCAGCTCAAGAATGCAAAGCGACTCAACAGTCGTCTTAGATCATGGCCACGATGGCCCTGACGGTCCCACTGGCAGGCATCTCTAATACCTTTCCACCCAACTCCAAATCATCGATGGTGCACGCCGTTTCTGCGAGTAGACAATCAGGTCCCGATATTTTTAACCAATCTCTCATCGCGGAGAGACGCCTTGGTCAGGTATGCGCCTCATTGATGAGGCTCCCTGACATGGAGTCGCTTATCAGTGTACCTGTCAGTTGAACAGAGTGTCGTGTAATGCTGCACGAGACTTAGATCAACTGACAAGCTTGCGTAAACGACATCCGTCAGATGAGGTATAATCGGATGCTCCAATAATTCGACTGTTATCTATGACAGTCTTACAGCACTAGCCGATGATGGGACACAGTGCAACACCGTCACCTGGAACTATGACGTTTGTCTGTATGCCAACGCTGGCAGACGCGACAGCACACGGACATTCACTGCACTGGTGGACCCGGACTACTGCACCTGATTTCAGGTCCATCTTTAAGAACCTTGCTCATCGGATTCTTTTTCAGCCACCGGCAAGATGCTCGACGTTCTATTGGCTCGATCGAAGTTCGTTCAGACAGCGTATGGAGGAGGGGCAGTGCTTGGGCAGTGCAATCCACGTATTGATGAGGGCACACAAGTAAGTAATCCAATTGACGATCTATGAATGGCCAAGAATTGAAGCGAGCATGAAGATTGTCATGAGGGTTATTATCGAACAGCTGAAAACATCTATATCTACACAACACCAATACCTTCTTTGCGGAACTTGGAACTACCTCGACGTTGGGTTTCATGTTCCTTCGCTTCGACGGCAGGCTGATTGCTCGATTATAACAGCGCGTAACTAACAAAAATCGAGGACGCAAACGACAATTTCAGATCTCGGTCCCCAAGGAACCGCGCAGGGCGAAGAGGGAATGTCGGGACTCCAGCCACGTGACCGACTTAGGAATGGCATCATCTTATTCAAATCTTATTCGCAAGATTTCAAATTGTACGTGCATATGAAATTCCGGAGTGATATTAACTGAGAAATTCACCCCGGTTCCTGCCGCTCTCAGTTTGTGTGTGACCCTGGGTTGACCAAAAACATGAACGATCCTGCGTTCTTCGCTGGTAACCCAACGATGGGAATCAATGGCACTGATGGCATGAGCCATTATTCATTCGCAAATGTGATGGATCCGGTTGTGGATATCTCGAAGGTTCCTTCCCAATACGGTTGATGTACGCCGTCTTTCGATGAGCATATGGGATGCTTTTTCTGGGGAACACCCTGAGCAGAGGGTGTGTGTTGGTGCCTGGTAAGCGAATACCAAGCAGGCGTACCTCGATGACCTTTCTGGCGTATCTCGTAGGTTGTTTAGACAACAGAAGGCTTAATTGGTACCTTCGTATTCGGGGCTTATCACTTCCGGTTGCCTCCCTTCCCCCATACCTCCCACGCAACGTCATAGTCATCAACTATTGACTTTCAGCCATTGGTACCTAGACCCCGCTTTTCAACAGCGGAAGAATTGAGTGATGGACGTGCTTCATGCCACCTTCTGTCACGTATGTTGTTTTTGCTATTGTTTTGCCGAAATATCTTTGTCGTGTGTTCTAGGTCACAGTTATGACGGAAGTTACTGTGGAGTATTTCCTTCCCCTTCACCACATTCTATGGAGACACGGTATGCTGACTAGAACCTCTGTCAGAGCTTCTGTCCCCACTCTGAGTCCGGGATGCCCGAGGACTTCGCGAGTTTGACTACAAAGATCTTCACTTAGCGCAGGCAGTACATTAGCCAGAATTCGCAAGACCATACATCGATCTTCACCCGCAAGGGTTTCCCCTCTGCACGATAGACCAGGTAAGTCTCTGCACATGAGAAACTGAGAGCCTAGCATCAAGGTTTGGCAGGCTGCAGCCTATGTTTAGCGCATCTTACGGCATACCGTTCGAAGACCTGTAAGTACCTTGTCCCTACTTGGATATACCATAACCCTGAGATAGAACAGTGAATGAGATGGAAGGCGTTAATATCAAAAAGCGTGTGTAATCCCGTCACAGTAAGTACTGGAAACAGTCAGGACTTGCTATTCCCTGATCTCAGCCTGATCTTTGCATTAGTATCACAGCCATCAATATATGCATAAGACCATTGCGGATGACTGATTACATTTTACGGTTTCGGGCACGAAACAGACGTATTAGTCTCAAATGTGTGTAGACCTCACAAAACACCATACATCTCTACCTCATTAATGACTTGGTGATTTTTTTTGGTTTGGCAGGTCATGATTAGTCTCTGGATTTTGGCACAATTAACCTCTGGATAACCGTGCGCACGAAGCAAAAAACAGAGTTGAGCAATATCACTAGGATAACGTTGGTGAGTCTATCACAAATACTTTCCAAGAATAACGAGATTTGTCATTTTTTTGGAGGCCCCCGACTCGCAAGATGCGTTCAAATGCGGAGTACTGCACTATACAGACGAACATGAACCGCGCAAAACTGTCTTTCCTCGTACATGATACTGACTCCATGCTTGCCAATCGGTGATCCTACTTTTGATGAGTCTTATAATTATACGGGTGAAATATTATTACTGATGCGGCATGCCGTGTGTCCAACTTGAAGCAGGTTCCGTCGATGCTTTGGCAAGTCCCCAGGGGTGCCATGGCAACACACATATTCAGTACGAGTGGGTACACGACATTGCCACCCGCCTGACGAATGGGGGTGGGCCCGTATATTCTGCAGGTGTCACCTCCCAATGATAAACACGATAGCGCGGGACTCTGCCAGGGCATTGTCGGGCTGTAGGATACATTTAACGGTCCAATCTAACGTTCTGGAGTCCGAGTGGACAACGCTTTTGAGGATAAGACTGTTAAGCCCATCAGGTTATAGCCTTACGCCTCAACAGGTTTCCTTTGCGGAACTTGCACAGCGACTGCTACTCCAGGCACCAGTATCGGACGATGGATTTCCCAATCGGATTTGAGCCGAAAGAAACGAATCTGATCAATATTAACTACCAGTTGTTTCCAGAAAGTGCTTTGAAGTGTCATAATCATAGTGGTTGTTTGACGATAACGATACAGTATTTAGATGTGCGCATGTAAGTAATGATAGTCAGTAGAGTTGAAATGCGACTCACAAGAACGTGGGTGCTGGCCATTCTTCATTCTGATACTGTTTAGCCAACTCGCGGAGTTGTAAATTCAAGTTCTTCTATCAGAAGTGCGAGGCAAGGCTGTATTAAATTCCTTCTGGTGAATTCTCAGAATGAGTCTGCGAACCGTTGGAGATATCTCATGAGGAAGGATAGCATTCGAGCTCCATCTTTGCCTCGCTCGGTACCACGAAGGCCAGGAGACTCCGTCTAGTCACTCACACATCCCGGATCTCCATGCTGACATGAGACTTGATTCAAGGGAAACCATCTTGTCACGCGTATCCTCCTGGAAAAATAACATCCACAAACCTTAGCATGAATCCTCAGTGAGCCTCCGAGCAAATTTCGAGGCCACTTCTCCTGCGAGTCCACGCGTGCTCGCCGCTCAATATTTCCGCACCATCGTCGCGTCTCCAACATTGCGTCTCATTTCGCTTACGCTGGTTAATTCACTGCAGTGAGTGAGAAATCACCAACGTGAAGCCAATTTCAAGGCTTCTTGGGCGTTGATAATTATAACGTGCGTTGTGACTTGATGATCCTTACAGAAGTGTGCTCATCCAAAAATGAACGCCGGCTGTGGCTGTAGTCTGCAGGGCTACACTTCCCTTTACATTTTTCAGTTTCAACCGGTGACCTGTTAGTGTGAATGTTGTCAGCGAAGGGGAGGACGATCAAACTACATACGAGTGTTACCGGGAAGATCCACTGTGGAGCTTCGTCAACGAGGAGCATGCTAGTTTCTTCGGCACAGGTAATTTAATAAACCCCTGTCTTTCAAGTTGATGACTTCTTCTGATTGTCATGGACTCGTGATGAGTTGACCTTCGCTATAAAAGCGTATGACCACGCTGGTACAGTTCCTCCGCTGGGCGCATCCGCTGATCGGGACGATCGTCGACATGTGTACTATTTCAAATGCCATGGGACTAATCTTGGTACATAGACCGTCCGTGAGGAAAAACCATGCTTCCATACAGGTACAGGGGGGACAGGGGGCCGGTTTATTGCACCTGCTGTCATACCCACTGGCTCGTCCACGACAACTCCTGCAGCTTGTGCTCAAACTGTGCCTACAAACTGTGTCCAGCTGTGTCCCCAGTGGGTTCTCCCTCCGAGTGGAGTTGCTCCACCGCAAGTCTCGGTCTCATCGATACAAGTCATGGTGTGAAATTCTTCCCCCCCTATTCTGGTACCATGATGGGAGATATCGGAACGATCATGGGTGGAAGCATGTGAGTGCAAGGGAAGGAGAAGTGTTCTTTTGGGTCTGTGTTTCATATTGGTACTGATCATTGTAGAGCCATGTATGCCGTAACATACTGATGGGCTTTGCTGTATCCTGACGGTGTTCTTGGTAATGGGCCAGTGATCGTAATCAGATTGGGAAGCCATTGTTCGATGCTTACGGCGGTCATCATTCTAACTCCTGATAGCATACCACAGCCTGTGCGGATATGATTCTGCTCTCACAGACCAAGGTCGACAGTTTGGGAAACTGAGTAGTAAAGAAAGGACCTAGATGCGTGTGTCAACTGAAGCCGTGCGGCTGCGGAACTAAACTTACAGAAGGATTATTGAAAGAAAGTATTATGTCACCTCCAGTGCTGTATTACTTTGTGCTGGAACTCCCACAGGATTACTGAGAGTTTGCGCCTGCCAGGCACTTCAGCTTGATGTCGTACTCTCCCTTTCTTAGAAAGCTGTGTGGATGAGCTTGGGATGAACATTCGTGGCAATTGTCTTGGCTGGGATCTGCCTCGTTGCAAACACGCTTGTTGATGCCAAACCCGACGAGAGCGTGATAATTTCCCGATAATCTGCAAATTTCTTACTGGACGGAACGGAAATAAGTCGCTTGCAGAAGTCTAATCATGGCGAGCAAATCTCTCGCAACCCAGCTGGGATAGCGAGATCCCAGCCCCTACTGGTCCTCATCGCTTCCCGTAACTGGCACGGGATCTGATGATTCAGTCAGGTTCGCAGCCTCATTATATAAAACCAGCGGCACTAGTAGCTTTTTCTTTCTTTTGCTTTGATACTCATTGATTCGACCTCCTCCTCTGCGCAGAGTTATCTGCAGGTTGGTGACACTTTGGAGGTGACGACGTTCTCATGACAGAGTACACATCTTCACCCGAGGCTGTTCAGGTCTTCAGAGACTCTCGGGAACGTACTGAGCACTGGGTGCGTTCGCACTCACCATTCCATTCCCAGTTCTATTCCCCCGAAAGTCCCCCATCTGTCGTCAGTGACATAGATATCGACGACTGTAGCTCAGATAACGGCAGTTCGCATTCTTTGCCTCCGAAGATGATGTTGAGGTATGGGGATGGACGAGACATTCCTATCTCGCACTGGCACTATGACAATGGCTCTCACAAAGGAAGTAGTCATAGTTCGAGTTCTCATCCCCATCTTCAACACAGCCATCAACACCGTTCTCATGACCGCTCGAGGTCTGCTGCTGATGCATATCCTGCGCGGGGTCCTCGCCACCCCGAGTACACAGGGTATCATCACTCCCCAACACGAAATGCACATCGTGTAGTCCCCAGTGAAGATTTGGAACCTGAGGAAATACAAATCCTTCCCTCTGACCCACACGCCACTCCCTATGACTCAAGAAACGAAAAGTATCGGCCGCGTAGAGCTTCAGAACCTTACCGGCCCGAACCCTTGCAATCCCCGCCCCACAAAAACGCTGTAGAGATCCTGGCAACACCCTTACCACGTCACGTTCCCAGCAATCATAGTACCGCTGCCCCACCAGTCACTTACTCTCATTCACAACCCATCCCTCAACAATACGAGCAGCACCACCCTGCGCACTCGCATTCGCGAAATAGGCCTCCACCTTCGATCGTATATGCACCCGGTTCTCACCACGCTACCGATCATTATGCTCCACCAACAATTGTGTATGCCCCAACTAAGGCACCAGGCATGACGTATACAGTGTCTGCGCCTACGGGTTCAGGGTTTCCGCAATACCCGCGTATCACTCCTGCCCCATACCCCACCGTCCACAGTCGTCTCGCGTCTATTCATGAAGAGGCACGGTATGGGATGAGAGGCCCCCTTCCAAGGGAAGATCGGCCGAGAGTGCCTGCCCCGATAAGCGAGGCTGACAGCTGCGAGTCGGGCAGCACCTACTATGTTATACCCACTCCTGGCCAGAAAGTGAAGGTCCTGGTAAGTCACCGGCAAAGTGCTTATCTCTCCTTGTCATAACTACGTTTCATTTGGCTGACTTGTACTGTGTGGTTGTTCCAGCCCGGACCCGCACCTTCCCTCTACACGGCCACGTCAACCACTAAATCGCCCTCGTCACCTCAATCTACCAGCACGGGATTCAAGAAACCGTTTTTCAGCAGGCTTTTGAGCTTTGCGTCTGATCTATCAAAAGTATCCAAAACCCCGAAATTCTCCTCAAAGACCAAGTTGCGACGACATCATTCTTTAGACACGTCCACGGGCGGTCATATACGACACCGCTCGTGACATTTATACGTGTTCTGGATAATGATTTCGAAAGGTTTTTGCATTGAACGTTCTACTCTTTTACATTTGTCTTGATTGGATAGACTTTGGATAGACTTTATGCATTCATATGCACGCATATGCATTGCCCTCACATTGTACGACACTAACAGCACTGTAGCGCTAATCTTCCACTCATTTTCTTTTTTTCTCCTAGCGTTTATGTTCGTATCATAACCTCACTTCTCATCCTCCGATGTTCATGTAACTCCTGCATGCCTTCCAGCAGGTCGCCGTAATAATGACATGTCGTAACATTTAAATCTGACATCAACGTGGCACCTGTGAATACACATGTCATTCATTTACTTATAAACAAACTTCCGCCTCAACGAAGCACCAAGAAACCGTTAAATGAATTGCCATCTTGCAAACTCTCTTTGACATATCACTGGGCCACAACTAATGACCTTCCATCACGCCCAAATCACACCCCACCCTTTTTCACACTGAACGTGGATAGACTCTATCCAGTGCTCATTTTACAAGATTTGTCTGATCAGGATCCGATCGTGATCATGTGCGAGGGACATGAGGGGATATATACTGTTGAATTTTATCGTGTCATGAAGGTCTAGATGGCGTTGACAAGGCTATCGTCGAGAAGCACTATTACAAGCGTCGATGACGTTCGTCCTGAGGTTTCATAGATACCAGAGATGAATCATGACAGGTGCTGTGGATAAGGGATGTTTCCTCGGATGTTCGGGATATTCGCTGCAAAAAAAAAATCAAGCCATGCAGGGGTGAATAGATCTTTCCGAGTAGTATGAGGTCAATGCGCGATTTGCCACAAGTGTGTTGGTGAGATAGAACTGCTCTGTAAAATGAGCGGGCCTCGGGGTGTTTGAGATAAGACGTAAGTTAAGTAGTACATGGAGCAGAAAGTATGGGGGCGCCGTTGATGTCCGTAGTATACGCATCTCACTTGTACCCGGGTATGGTCGAGAAACTTGGATGCTTGTCCCTCCATGCGGGACCCGGAATTCAGTGCTTGAAACTCGTGCTGATCGTGGTGCGCTGAGCTGGAGGATTCAAAGTCATCGAGGCCAATCGTAATGCATGCCATCTTAGGAGTTAAAATGGTTCTTCGAATCCGAAATAGTCAGGTGGTCTGGATAACGTAGCAACGTGCGGAACGTATGCAAAACAATCGGCAGTGCGAGACGTAGAACACTTCGGCGTATCGCCTCGATCGAATTGTGAACGTTCTTCACAATAACTCGAGTTCCGACTATATATAACGCAGTGCACGACGCTCAGGGGCTCGAGAACCACTGGCCTTGTTCTGGGCCGTGTTGTAATTTATAGGAACCCCAAAAAACATCTTGGGGGATAAGTATCATAAGGGTCAGGAAATACGAATGACTTTGAGTTCGACTCACTAACATGAGTTTTCGACTGCTTTTCAGTATCATTAGGATAGAGCCTGCACTTACTACATGTCTTATGGTTGGACACGTCAGGTCTCGGTCTCATACTATGCTGAGACTATACTTTTCCGCCACAATTTTTTTATGGCACAAGTGTCAGTCCTGGGTAGAGTCAATTAATCTGTGTCAATGTATGTCACTACAGTAAATCGAGACTGTCCCTTGCCTTGTGAACACAGAATCAAGGCCAGATAAGATCATTTAGGACAGAAAGTCGACTAGTTGAATAGCAGCTTTCAGGTCAAGACAGCCCTTTTTAGCACAGAAACCTAAATAAAAAAAAGTAATTTAAGTATGAATGTGTACGAAGTGTTCTATTCTGCACACTACTCGGCAAGTGATCGGACTGTTCCTGGGACTGCTGGCAGTGAATCATCGTTCCTGTGCTTGATTCTATGCATTCTGATGTCGGTGCCATGTACTGTGGCCAGACAGCTTGGAGTGAGTAGAGAATTGCAAGCTGCCCGCGGTGATATCTACACATTCTCTTCGGTCCGGTGGTGAGGGTGAGCACTTGACAAGATTGCTCCCATGATGCTGACTCATTTTACCTATGTATATGAAGGAGTCAGTCATCACATGCATCATAGATACTGATAATCGAGCATCACTTGAGTACATATGTAATTTTCTGTCTTCAGCTCTCACCCCTTCTTCGTACAATCAATTAACCATGACCGTCTCGAAGGACCTCAATTTCTGTTTCCCAGTGCGGGAGTTATCGAATGAACGTGTCAAGATGACTCCCTTCGAGGTAAGCCAATTCAAATCGTTAGATGACAGCTGACTGACTTGCCACAGGCATCGATCCATTCGTCTTCGTTTTTCTCCGCCACATCAGCTCACCCGGAGCTGTGGGCACACATGCCTACTGGCCCATTCCAAACCGTACAAGATTTTGATACCAATTTCCTCGAGGCCGTAGTCCATCGTGATCTAGGAATGGTATTATTTGCCATCATAGATAAAACAAAACCACCCTCGGCTGCAGACGGGGAAGGTGAACTGGCTGGGATGATGTCTTATACGGGCTCTTCTTCTGTGAATCTAAGCACAGAAATAGGATATATCATCATCCTTCCCTCATATCAAAGGACGCATGTCAATTCCAATGCTGTTGGGCTTCTTTTGCAGTACGCACTGGAAGTGCCATCGCAAGGCGGTCTGGGGTTGCGAAGGGTTCAGTGGCAATGCAGCTCCATGAACGCCCCTTCCATTCGTGCTGCCGAGAGGCTGGGCTTCAAGAAGGAGGGGATTATGAAATGGCATCGTGTATATCGTGGAGGCAAGGAGAGAGGCAAAGTACATAATGGTCGTGAGTTGCCTCAGGGCGATCTTGAAGAACAAGATTATGGAAGGGATACCGTTATTCTTGGTTATTGTTGGGATGATTGGGAGCAAGGAGGGAGAGAGAAGATACAATCAATAATGGACAGACAGCATGTAAGTTACTGGGCTTTCTCAACGGTGCGGCCATTTGATGGCTATAACTCATGAATTTGTCTAGTGATACCCTCATAATTTACCTGGCACTGCAGACCATAGACCCGAGAGTTACATTGCACCCCTGGTCACAGGTAAATACCATGGGCTGGGATCAACATGTGAGTTGAAAAATCACAGCAATTTGTTTTTACTTCCGATTCATGTCCATTGTGATACACTAAGTACCCTGTAAGAAATTTTCTAGTCTGCGGTAAAAGTATTGGCAGTTGTAATGATATTAATGCTGTGTTGTGGTAGCTTCTGATAGCGGTCGGAGTCTGATGAGAAAGAGTAGCGACGCGGCCGCGATCACGATCGCCTGTGATAAGCACGTTGAATAGATATACATCGTGCAGTGATCTGCAAAGAGAGCTTACCCCATGGGTATAGAACACCAGCATCGGTTGACTCGAGATTGTGCTACATTAAGTAAGGAAATAAGGAGACAGTGTAGGATAGAAAACCAAACGACTCACGCAGTAAAAATGCTGCCCATGACAAGAGGGGAGAGGAAAGCTCCAATGCTTGACATCATTTCGATAGCAGCTAGTACCTCTCCTATCCGACGCGATTCATGAGTTGTCAATTGGATGTTTGCAGCTTCAAAATACGTGCCTTGTTTTAAGGGATCGACCGATGACACCACGAGACTTCGAATGATGGGAGTATGTGCTGCGCTGAACCCGGCAATAGTCACGGCTTCACAAAACATCAATATACACATCGCTGCCTTTTAGCGTGGCCTCGCACCTATGAGATGTGAAACACGAGTCGTCGTTGCAGACGCCATTATATAGGCGAGAGCATTGATGACCAAGGAGACGAAAGTGATATGGATATCGAGAAGGTCTGTCGACCTAGATACGGCAGTGTCATCGCTAGGGTCCTCTTGGTCTTCAGGGAGAACAACCTCCCTGGCGTAAATCGGACGTAATACACGAATCAGTGAGGGTATCGCGTATGTAAGAGAGAACGCAGCGCTCAAGCTCAGTGTTGTTAACACAATTCCGGTCTAAATTAGACATAAGTGTAGAGCTCTAGTGATTGATGTTCAGCCTACCTGAGCAGGGTTGTAGCTGTATTTTGTTATGTACAACAATAAAAGGGCTGCCGGCGTATACGTGTCCGCAAGCGTCGCGATCATGATATGAATTGCACAATACAATACTCGCAAGTTCCGTCTGCCATCTGCCTTGCGGGCAGGAACAAGCTGTTTCAGAGGTTCGAACGCAATGGCTATTGTAGATATGAGGCGGCTCGATAAATTTCGACGAGCACTTGCTTCCACATTCTGCTGAGCGAGGCGCTGGCGACGCAGTTCATCACGTTTCCCTTCAGGGAACGATTCGGGGAGGAAAGCTAGGACATAGACGAATATTGCCCCGAGGAGGAAGACGGAGATGTAAAACACGATTAGCGGATCATTGGTCTTGGTGGTGACAAATCCACCAACAGCAAAGGAGACTGTTTGGCCTTCACACGCGTAGATTAATGGAGATTGTCTCAATACAGAGGATGGTGCTTACCTAGCGTAGCCCATCCATTAATGGCACTCAAAACGGGTGTTCTTGAGCATCCGGTCAGTCCAAAGAGAACTGATTGCCACAGTTATACATTACCTGTCCTCAGCACCGGAGATATCAATGGTATAGATGTTCACGATAAACATCATAGTCAGCACACCACTGAACATTCGCAGTAATAGAAAGGCGATCATAAAACTTGCTTCTAGCCATTCAGACAGGTACTGGGAGCAGACCATAAGAGAATATCCCAAAAAACTAATGGCAACTATGCCAAGGATAACTGGTTTTCTTCCGAATCTGGAGCTAATATGGCTAATCACACTGCATGCGACCATGGCTGTTTGGACATTAGGTTAGGCAGAAGAATCAGTAGCTTCCGCACCTCCAAGCCCTTCGCCAATTAAAATGACTGAAATGACTGTGGCGTATGTTTTATCCACCTCTGGAACCGCGCATAGTTCCTCAGATATCTCCCTGCCAGGTGGCAAGTTGCCATTTGAAATAAGCCACAGCCGACAGATGATTGACTGGATAACCCCCAGTAATGTCGTCGTAGGAAGAGTTGAAGTAAGTCGTGTCACGACAGCTAGCGGAATTAGAAGTGTCAATGGGGAAAATTGGCGTCTACTGTTTGATGCATCCTGCCGCTCTGGAAGGAGCGGGGCACGCTCAGAGGGTAACTTGGTCGGTGATACGTCTTGAATGCTTGACATGGGAGTTCGAACCAGCCGGTTTCGATATCTTCGAATTGAATAAGTAGTACTATGTAGCCGCAGTGAGTCCGGTGGCTGAGCCAGGCAAGTCAATACTGTTACTAACTTTTAGTTAACATTAGGTTGAAACAACGTAACACGCATGCGACGTTGCGCCCCGTGGGACGTCCAAGCGTATTCGCAGCATGTCGGCAACTAAGTATAGATGTGCTCGTGTGAGATTTCAGGCTTTTGGCGAAGGAAGAAATAAGTATTCCTACCTAGTCAAACCGCAAATCTAGTCAAGAGCCAGGGCCATTTGTGGAAGACTTGCTCTTGTATTTCATCGAAACACTTGTCAACTTGTCGCGTCTTAAAGCTAGTTCAACAATCGAGGTTTCCTAGTTGCGCTTTCATGTCCGACTCGGAGCTTCCTGCTACTCAGGACACCATTATGATAAGGAAGTTGGGCTCACCAGTCATTTCGGACCAAGTTGCTGGAGAAGGCCAAGAACTGTTGGCTTTTTTGACAGGTAATAGAAGATATCAGCATGCGATTTACCGACTTATTAACTCACTTTTGAGGCCTTGAGGCACAAGAAGTCACCACCACTATGGTGCAAGATTTAGATGATTTAATCGACAGGCTCATCGAGAGTCGAGATTGAAAATTGAAAACGCGTTGAACTACTATGTATATGTACTTACGTACGTACACTGTACCTGTACACAGCGAAATTTGAAACCCGAATTTCCTTGCAAAGTCAAATTTGTATTGACTGCATAGGTACATCGCTTTCAAGCGCTAAAGTACGCGAGGATTAAATTATACCACCCACACTACAGCAAGTAATAAGATATCCTTGGTTTTGTCTACAACGATAATACTCAGTGGTCCAATTCAAGGTTCTGTCCAATGTCAATTCACTCGTCGGGTAGCTGTAATATACTGTTTGCACGAGAGAGTGTCTGCCTCGGAAATAGTGTCAAGTTCATATGCGATGAATTTCGCGAACGTGGGTTGATGGAAGAAATCGAAGACCTGCTGCTCGTCATTATAGTGTCGTCGGGAGCGGTGGCAGCTATGGGTGACGAAGCGCGAGAGTGAGAATGTGTTGTAGAAGTGGAAGTGCTAAACCCGTCTGAAGCATTGTGATAGGGAGGAGGTGAGAGTGTTGAGGCTTGAGAGTGTCGAATCAATGGAGGATGAAGTGAGGTAGAGATGGGAGGCAAACGCGGTCGACGTGATGATGTCGAGGAGGAGACCAGGCGGCGTAGGGGTCGTAACAGGGACGGGGGTAGAAAAGAGGTATTCGAAGGCGATGGAGGACGTGGCGTCGCTGTCCCTTCCTCCATCGCGTAGGCTCCATGTAAGTCACGTTTAAATGAGCCACGTAAGAGACGCCTCCGAACAACGCGTAATGGATGTCGTAGGCGAAAAACTATGCAGCTCACCACAACGAGGACAATAGCGTAAGAGAGTATAGTAATGGGTGAAAATCCCAAGGACTCGCGGGTTAAAGATGCCGGCAGGTGTGGGGAAACATGCTCTTCCAACAACTGATCGAGATCCCAGAACGGTCGAATGGGTTTGATAGGAGGGTTGGGTGTACTAGCAGGGATATCGTCTATAGGATCAGCCAGCGGCCTACCACTGCTTGAAGACGGTTTGATTTCCTTGCTTGCTTCTAGCACCATTTTACCCAGTGTCCAGCTAATGGCAATGTCTCCGACGGAGTCGACAGACTGAAACACAGGTCTTCCCAAACCCTTCGCTTCAGCCTGGTGTGCCACTTGTTCTCCGATCGTGGTGGAGTTCCCTTCTGGGTCTACTATCCGAGGAATCCCAATTCCTTCATGTAGCACATTGGCTATCCAGGCGGCCTTGAAGCACTGCATCTGCAACCTCGGAAGCTCCACACTCTTGCCCCACTTCCCGACCTCCATGACCTCGCCGTTTTCCATAACTTCCCCATCACCGCCTCGTATACCTTGCGCTCTCAACAGTTCGTGTTGGTTGACTATACCATTCCAATCCCTCCCGCAGAACTGTGTCGCAGCACGCTCGTACTGCACATAATCATACGGGCCGCCAAGCCCGAAGACATGTTCAGATGAATACCAGTATTCGGAAACGCCAATAAAATGGGAGGAAGCAAAGTTGATCGCAGGAACATGCACTCCATCGAAAAGGCATGGAGCAGTATTGCATGGCGCATTTTTGTTGAGGAGAGAAGCAGTACGATCCAGACACTGGGTGAAAGACCCCGTCCCCACAAGTTGATATGTTGAATGTGACCCATCAATCTGAGGAAATGTTTCGGAAAGTATCAGGTCCTTTGGGAGGCACGGATCAGGTATGGGTGACGATTCCGAGGTCTCGAGCGAAGTCTCTTTGAAATGCTCGACGGTCTTCGCGACATATCGCTCTCGTGCCTGATTGGTACCATAGCCCAACCACGTAGTGACGAATACCGAGTGGTTGACTTCGTCTCCGCCAAGTAGTCGTAACCGGACATCAACCAGGTTCTCCTTGTCTCCCGATAGCGTGTCAGATGGCTCAAAGGCTATCTGGGTCGAAGCGCCTCCCATGTCCAGAAAGCCATAGGTCGTCTTCTTATCCTTTCCGTAAAACCCATCCATAAGATAGTTCACTGCTATCCATCCATACAAGCCTTCCTCCTCGCCAGTGATAATTCGTACACTGGACCCACACGGACCGTCTTTCGATTCGTCGTCTATCCGGAAGCTCGAGGCGCTTTTGAGATAGTTACATGTAGCATTGAGCACGCGCGCTTGCTGCACCGGTGTCAAAAGGCGCATACCGGCGGTAGCGAGGAGGAAAATGGGAGTTTCAGATTCGAAGGAAGGAGGTATTTGAGAGCGCGCATGCTCGAGTAGGGGTGCAAGGTATTCGTGTACACCCTCTGGGTTGTCTGCGAATGTAGAAAGGCCTACATGACAGAGCCAGTTGAATGACACAAGCAGAATATCAGACATGTACATACCTGGTTCAGCCTTCATTATCCAATCATCTCCTTCCTGGACACCCTTCTCTACCTTGGGCAATTTATCCCATACATCATTTCCCTGCTCTCTAAGCACGACATCGGGATCCTCCCAGCTATATATCTGAAGTCTTGAACCCGACGAGCCAGCGTCAATAACTATTCCAAAACGGCGCGCAGTAAGCCAAGAATCAGAGGATATCGTAGGTGGCATAGACCAGGGCCCAGCGGTAAAGCAATCGATGCTCCACTTGACGAGGACGTGGGGGACCGTAGTACAACAGCAAGGATATTTGGTAAGTGGATGTATAAATGACGAGGTACAATTTGACCCAGCGACTCAGCCACCACGCGGGACCCAACTTCCCGAAGTTGTCCCGAAGCTGACGTTCACGATCAATCTGGCTTATAAGTAATACTGGGCAGATAACGAGCTCGTGGTAGTAATAATTACTTTCATGATCGCGTACGAGTGACCTGCTAGGAATTTCTGGTAGTTCTTCCATTGACTTGGACTATAATTTTTACTCTCGAAATCTGGTTACATGAGAGCATTGACAGCTGCTCATTTCCTGGCAGTTTGTAGGTGACACGCGACGTATGGAAGATGGTGCATCTGTACCTTTCCAGTGCATATACTGGACTGATACATATGCGCACGCCGACCTGAGGAAAGCAAAAGAGTCACGATATCCTTGAATCAAGTCACTAACAACAGCTCCCGTATCAACACAGAATACTATGTCAAAACTACATCCATACGTTCCAAACGAGCTTAACCAAGATATTCCTTGAAGTTTCTCATCGCGGTGCAGTAGTCTTGCGAGGCCGCGAACGCGTCCCACCCCTTGCCACGCCTGTTTCATCTTTCGCTTTGCCTTTGACCTTCAGATCCACGCTCCACAACCGCGCCTGTGCCTCCCTCAGGCGGAGCAAGTCAAATACCCAGTCTGTCTCCTGCGCCTTCGCTGAACCGCGCTCATGCAGCCTTTCTTCCTCTGAGTGAGAGAGAAGAGCAGCTGTAGTGCGCTCACCAGACCGCCACAGGAGTAGCTGCTGGATTGCCTCGGGAAGAAGAATGTTCACGCAGTACTGTGGGTGAACAATGGTTTTATCAGTGAAAATAGTTATCACAGAACATAAGACGTACATCAAGTTTATCAAGGGTCGATAATGATTCATATTCCTGTGAGCCAACTGGCCGTTGTTGGTCCTGTGCAGGCACAGGGCTTTCAACCTGTAGAAATGATGAATGACCCGGGGTGGCGGGTGCGATATTGCTAGCCTACCTCCCCAGCGTGCGGCAAATCACAGTGACCGCTAGAATCCGGCTGCAATCAAAGGTGAATCTCTGCTTTTGGAGACTGTGATAGATCCTACCTGCTCTGCAATGACCTCCTTTGGTGCAGAAGGTTGATCAGGCAACGATACAGAAGGTAGATCAACCGTCTTCGGCTCTGAGGAATCGCCAGCCTATGCAAAAAGACACTATCAACACAAAAACGCGAAGGTGAAATATAGAGAGCCGACCTGGCTAGGCTGGTCAACTGTTACGGCGTCGCCATCAATCTTATTGCCAGTGTCGCTGGGAGGTATGGGCTGAGACAGTGCAGTCGTGATTCCCACTGTCAGAAGTTGCGGGTATATTGTCTGGCGACTTGTTAAGTGATATTGTATTGGGGTCCTCGACCTGATTGCCTATTGTCACTGGGAGGTATTGGCTGAGAAATGTCATGGTGGCCTGCGACGTCGGATGCTACAGATGTCTCATCCGTTGCTCCAGAATCGGGCTTGTCAACTGTCATTGCCTCGGTGTCCTGATTGCCGATGTCACTGGGAGGTATGGGCTGAGAAATGTCGTGGGCCGCGCTGTCGGAAGTCGCAACTATCTCGCTTCCGACGGCAGCGTCTGCCAACCCATCGCCATTGGTTGTCAAAGTAGTTAGGCAGATTGTGCTATCTTGCTCCAGGGGTGGCGCCACCTTTGCTTCAGGTTTGACTTTCACATTGGTTCTACGAGCATACCCTTCTCCAAGTGCCCATCGCGTAATCAGTTTTTGCGATTGCTTTACCTCGTTCGGATCCAACCCTCCTCTCACCGCCGCCCGCTTCATTAAACTGGATCTAGCAGCACCTCCCCGCATGAAAGCCTCATGGCTCTTGCTTGCCGGGGTGTACTTCCCTTGTAGGATGGCATTCAGCACGGGCTTCACGTATGCTAGTTGCGCATGCATCGACAAATCAGCGAAAGCATCTGCGCTGGGAGGTGGGTCGGTCAACTCTGGACTAGGGCTCCGCCTCTTATCTTCCGGTTCATCTTCCGAGTCCGGAGCCTCGGTATCCTGGACGGCACTTTCGAACTCGCCCAAGTCGCACATAACAAAGCCTTCTTCCTCAGAGGTCCAAAATCTATCCCGGGTGAGGTTGTACTCCCGTTCGTCCAGAAACTTGGCCCGATAGCGTTCCTTCCCACCTGGCTTGGTTGGTGGAACGTATGCTATAAGCTGAGCGGGCCAGTATTTGTTACTTCTCGTTCGTAGTGCCTGTGCCAGAACAAGCTCGCCTGGGATTTGGAGCATGGGATCCGGAGGCGGAGGAGACCAAGCGCGGTCTGTAGGAGCCTCAGGCTCAGCACGAGGTGAAATCTTAGCCTTCTTGGTTGAACGTAGGTCCTCTACATCGTCTTCTTCTGAGGAAAACGTCCCGCCAGTGTACGCAGAAATCATCTCGGGCATGCCATCACGCTTGAGTCCATCTGCATCCTCCATAGCTTTCACTGCTGCCTCCCATCTCTCGCTTGTGTCCTTCTTGGTTTTCTTGCGAGGGGAAGGGTCTGAGGATCCAGATGTGGTGAGAGATGAGACGTGGAAAGTTGCTCTGGAGAAACGCTTTTCGCCAGATAGGTTATGAATGGGCTGGATGTTATGTTCGGATGGAGACAGAATTGTCGAAGGCTCTCGAGATAATGAAAGGTCGCCAAAGAGGGTCACACGGAGCGGTTGTTTTTGGACAATCTAGCCATTTAATTGAGTGAATTGAGATGTTTTCAGCATGTCAGGGAATGCTCACCCTGGCGGGCCACCACATGCGTTCGTCCAGAATCTCAATATCATCGTCATCATCTGGGACCGAGGTAACAACAATTCCTAAGTCATTCACCAGTACCCAGACTAGAGTGTCAACGTCGCCGAAGCTACGTCCATTACCCCGGTCAGTTGTCTTTGCCTTGTCCGCCTTCCTTTTCCTTGGGGAAGTTTGGCTTCGGGGCTGTGAGAAGCTAGAACTGGATACTCTGAGAGAGCGCATGGAACCGCTCCCAACCATACTAAGCTTCTGAGGCGGTGGGGTAGAATGACTGATTATAGAGAGTGGGGGAAGATCCGTGGTGGAAATAAACGGACTTGTGGGAACGCTCGAGAACGGTGAAGGCGACAGGGTTGTGAGAGTGCTTACTGTGCCTTCCCTATCCGAACCAGAAGCCGAGGCCTTGCGTTTCTTCGAACGCACGGATACCTGGGAGTGTGAAGGTGTTACAGGCTTGGGTTTAGTCTTGGGCTTTGGTTTGGGCTGGCGCTTAGGGGATGGCGACGAGTTATCTGTCTGCTTTAGTGGCGAAGCGCGGAATTTGCCCTTGGCGTTATAGCGGTATTTCACATTAGGCTGCCTACGTGACGGAGGCTCCCCAAATGAGTCTGAGGGCTCGGGCTCATCATCAGAGTGACCTGGCGAATGGAGCTGGTTTGCGAACACAGCGGAAGCCCGACTTGCTGCTCTACGAGTCGGGAGGATGCGCTCAGATAGCATAGGAGAGGTGCTAGTGGTTGTCATACGGTCAAGAAGGCTGCCGTGCAACGACGTGCAGTGCCAAGAGGACTGCGGACTATTGAAATTCAGTCAGACACAACAACTGCACAGTAAAATGCACCTACAACTGATATTCGTCTTCCGGTCCTATAGCAGATGCAGTAACCCTTAAAATTACTGTCAGGACTCATCAGCAGACTCTGTCAGCCTTTTGATGCCCAGGCGCGTTCTGTCACGCGGGTTGTACCCATGTCACGTCACGCGACACTTCCTCCTATCATTCGTGCACGTCACGAATATCTCGTATAGCTTCAATATATATTGATCGGTGATTAACTCTGCCTCTTTCCCCCGTCTTCTCCTTATCAGGTGCAGTCCATTGGTAACTTTCGATGAAGGCTCCTACTCAGTATTCAACACGCATGTCCACTTCAAATCTGTCGCGCACGTTGGTAGTATCATAACGTTTCCTCTACTTACTGGATGGATGATGTGGCAATGTCGGGACCCTGGTCGTTTCAAGTTGACAGCGGTCATGTTATATATTTGGTAAAAGAAGATCAATTGAGCTCTCATTTCAAGCATAAATCCTAAGCCACGAGAGTCTGGGACAAAATAGAACATTCCACGTAAGACCGGACTTCCGCAAAAAGACGTGCTCAGTGTCCAAGATAAGGCACCTACGTCAAACAAAGCGCAGATTTCCAATATGCCGCTCGAAGGCAAACGTAAGAATACACGGATAATCACATCGTCCGAGCCTTATGTATCTTCACATCCTCTCTTGGTCTAACAAGCGGTCAAGTATCTCTGAGAATCCTGACGCACGACGACTTACCGATCCTGAGCGTCGACTGCAACAGCACCTAATCTCTGCACAACACGCATGCCTGAGCTCACCCGGCCGAAAATGGTGTGTTTGCCGTCCAGGTAAGGCGTGGGCGCCAACGAAATGAAGAACTGAGATCCTAGAAGCGGGCCATTATATCCTAAGCAGCGGATAACATAAAAAGCAGCAGTCTAACCGTTTGTATTGGGCCCCGAGTTCGCCATTGCGAGGATTCCTGCACCCGTAAAACGTAGTTCTGGATTTATTTCATCCTCGCTGTGCATATGTCATGAGTTCACGTTTGGGAGAAACATTTACAACGGACGTACAATTTCTGACCGTAAATGCTCGTTCCACCTCGACCAGTTCCAGTTGGATCACCACCTTGAATCATAAAATCCTGCAAGTACGACCGATCATGAATACAGACGTTTTGCGTAGAACAAAACCTCCACTGACGGCGATAATTCGATGAAACACGACGCCATTGTAGTAGCCGCGTTTTGCAAGCTCGGCAAAGTTCTGACACGTCTGGAATGAAACCTTGATCAGTTCAGTCAAAGCAAAGAAGGCGCAAAACAGGGGAATAAACTCACCCGAGGGGCGTGGTTCCAGTATAATTCCAGCTGAACGTCTCCGAGACTGGTTTCGAGAACAACTGAATCCATCGTGGTGCTTTTGAAGAATAAGATGATGATAAACAAAGGCAATCAAAAATACTGCAGTTCGTTGAGGTAACTGGATTTTCATGATCAATTACAAACTTAGATCTCAGAAAGCACGATCAAATCAATTCCAATACATGAGGTTTGCATTCTCCTGTTTTCAAGAAAAAAGAGCAATAAATATTGAGACCCGTAGGTCTACCACTCCGGGAAAGCGTGTCATCCTTGTGCAGGGGCCATGCTAATCTTCTCTGTATCGTTCCAATTTTTCGTATGTCACCCCGAAGGGGACAATAGTAGGTGGAGGCATTAAGTAGAGCTTAGCACAAATTTGTTTTTAGTTCGGACGACGGGTTTTGCGCCACAACGGGCAATCGAGAACTGGCTGCCAAATTTGGATTCACCTCAGCATGAAACTGATGTAACGCTCGCCATGGCGCTATCTTGGTGCTATCATGCCAATTTCCGTGGTCCCAAAGTATATCAATCCAGGAAGCTGCTAATAATGTTATAGCAATTGCGAGGACATGGCTGGAAGATGATAGTATATTAGAAATGCACCAAGTGTGACACCACCCAAACGACTCTCCAACTCGGCTATCTCTGCTCGCAATCGGTCTATCTCTGCCTGATACTCGTCCCGCAACTGCAAGAATCAGTAAGTGTTATAATCGATAGTTAATCTCACAACCATAACCATACTAGGAAGAGCTCACCTGCTGTACTCGGACTTCCTCCTCTTGCCTCTCCTGTCCCTCTTCATTTTCGATGTGTGCCCATTCAGCGTTAAATTCCTGGCATACTACCACGCTACTTAACTTCTCTACCTTGATCCCAGGATAACAAGAGAGCGCCCGCTAAGCCACGGTCCCTCGACACCACCTGAGAAGAGTTGGTTTGCGGCCTCCCAGACAGTCTCGGCAAACCACTGGTTCTGGTAGAGAAGATATTGGGGAGTATTCTGGATGACAGCTGACAGGAGGGTACAAAGTTTTATGTATAAGCCAAATACTTTAGTCAGGCAGGTTTGGATGGCGGAATTTATGTTCGGGGTAGTGAAAACATTATCAATAGCGGTGGAGGTTGGAGAAGCCAGTGGGGAAATTATTCCTGATGTACGAGTAGATGACCCATTGCTGTTGTTTTCGGGGTCTGGCTCGCAGCGGTCAATAACCAGGACGGTGGTCGCAGCCCGTGAGGCACTCCAATGACAAAATTCGAAGAGAAGAAACTCATCTTGTTTGTCACGTCGACATTTACAACAGATCATGCGTTTCAGTTGACATTGCGAAGGAAGATGGTTGCTGAAAATGATCGTCTTCCATGTTGGCACATCAATCTGCATGGCTCCCGTGGTAAATAAACTGGGGACTATGGGCCATGCCATGACCCGGAAAGGACAGAAAATTGCAGTAAGGACACCATGAGGGGGTAGGCTACTTTAAGACCATTACAAAAGTTTAACGTTTAGACACGATGCACAGAGTCGCAGTAGACTTGTGCAGAATGCACTGATTTCGGAGAACTGTAACGCGTGGCTCGATCATAAGTTGGACGGATAGAAGGAATGAGTGCCGTACTTATCAAGATTCAAGCTCAAGCTTGTAAGATATGCAGCGTTAGCACAAATATTTCGTCCAGAAGATTTGAAGTAGGTGTTGAAATGCTGAGATGTCACTGTATCATCATTTCCTTGCTGTACATCTACCGAAAAATACACGACTGGAATATTTCACACTGGCGTAGTTTCATCTTTCACGCGCACGCGTCGACTAAGTTATTGAAGCATATAAAAGCTATGACGCTAAAACACTCAAATCCACTAGAGAATTCAATATTCAATTTCAAACGGTACTGAAAGATAGCAAAAATACACAACGAAAACAAACAGTCCTGACAACATGAGGAGCGGGGCTAGCTAATTCCATAATACTCCTTTGGTACCCAAGATGAAGCACTTCAAACCATGGATGTCCTTTGTTGCGAGTGTTTCCGAGCCTTGACTGGGAGAGTTGACGAGTGACGAACTGCGACTCCCGAGAGGTCTGGAGATAGGTGAAGTGGGCCCGGAGGAAGCGTCTGTGGGACAGAGGGAAATTCATCAAAGATTTCCTTCTCAAGGATACTGGGAGCAGGAGAAGATGACGAGTCCCGTGAGACCATCCAGTGCGATGGACGAGAGCCGGGCAATTCGCTGGCATGGCGACCTGGAGAGCTTTTGGTTGGGGATGGAGTCGGGGGCTGGGACAATATAAACGACCTCTTCGGCGAGTTATACATCGAGCCTTGGTCTTGAGGGATGGCATACAATAATTTAGTCCGTGCGAAGGTCTTCTTCTGAGCAGCTCACACACCTGTCTCCACTATGCTGACGTTCGACTTGGTTCTGTTGCGGTGGAACAATTTGTCCGCAAATGAGCTAGACTTCTCCCCACCGCCTTTCTTTGTAGATACGACTGGCCATGTAATACCAAAGCTTGATCCATCTCCATGATCAGATGGTGTCGCAACCGGGGCGGAGTCCTCAGAGCATGTTGAAATACTATCCCGAGGGTACGCCCCAGGCATGTAGTTCGACGAACGACGACTAGTCAGTCGCCTAATGCTCGAGAGATACCTCCTGTGTGAAGGGGATCGTTGTGACGCAGATGTAGAAGCTAGACTCCTTCCATCACCCTCATCCTCCTCGGGGATGTCTCGATCCATGTTAGGTTCTCGGATGGACGGGATAGATATCGAACGCTCTGAAAGGGATGCAGTCTCCGCGGATGGAGCTTCGACATATTCTGTGAGTGTTGAGGAAGATACGGACCGGATGTCGGTTGCGAAAGTGTCGACAGTTGGGGTTTTGGGAAGCGCAGCTTCCACCGGTTCCGAGCCATCTCCCTCAGTTAGCTTCATCTCAAGCAATGCTGCTTCTTCCAACAGGATGGCGAGTTCTCCATAGCCCGAGCTCAAAAGTGGCTCGGGAGCAATAGTGATCCCGTCCGCCGCACTCGCGCAATTTGTGGTGTCATAGGTGCGGAAAGGGATGAAGTCGGTGCTGTGGCAGCGGGCATTTCTGTGACCTTGTGATGCACTACAGCTGTGAAAGAGCGCTTTACTTCAGGCTTAGTAGTCTCTATCCCTGAATCAGGTGATGGGGGGCTGGGTTGTACCTGGATCCGTGGATGAGGCACGATGAGAGAGATGGTCCCACATTCCTCAGTAGGAGAGGATTCAGATGCCAGTAATGATGTGGCTACGTCATCACGCTCCTTGTCATTGGCTCCTGAGGTAATGGTAGATGTACGGGGAGGGGCCAATACTGAGTCGTCTTCGGTAACCGTATTGGGGGTGACGAGTGAATGCGAAATAGTTGAAGACGAGTCAGGAAGGGCAGCTTCCGAAGGCCGAGCGTCGGTCATGGACACATCTACTGACAATGGGTGATGACGTGGTGACTGAGGCTTCTCGTCCGAAGGAGGATCAATAGTCTGACCAGGCTCAACAGCGGAAGCCACCTCCACGACAGTTACAACTTCTGGCGAGGACTGTGATGGCGCCACAACGTCCAATGCAATCACAGGCACCATATTAGAGTCAGCCTGCAAGCCAAGCCCTACTACCGCCGGATCCTGCTCTGCTTGTGATGGTGCATCCATATCTTGGGGAAGTACATCATCTGATGAGGTGACAGGTTCAAGGGTCTGGGACGGGACTATGACTCCAGCAGGATCTCTTACTCGCAGCGAAGGAGAAGTGGACAGAGAAGGTGAAGGTGATTCTAGATCTTCATCTACGTGCTGAGACGCTTCCCCGAAGCTGACGGCACGTTGAGTTGGACCAAAATCGACTGCTAGGGAGTTGCGACGAGCAAAAGGGAGAGTCGGTGACGGTGTGGATGGAAGCGGCGGAATAGGTTCTCCCGTTGTGAATCTCGGAGGAGTGCCTTTCAAGAGTGTTCCCCCGGTAGAGACACAACGTTTTCTTGGCAAAGGTGAGTCGTCCGCCGGGGGGAGGGGTGAGCCAGAGCGACTCGACGGCGAGCAACCCGGTCTCCCCATGTTTTGCACTCGGTTCCCATACAACTCTCCACGCTTCTTTGCTGGTGCGTTTTCTGCCAACTGAGGCGCACCCATACCGAAGCTGCCTCGTGGAACAGGGATGCCTCCCTTCTCCTCAAATTTGGCGATTTTGTCGCGCAAACATCCGGTTCCACTACTCGGGAGGTTCTTTGAAGCGAATTGAGACGTTTGCTGTTGACTTGGGGACACGTTCCGCTGTTGGAGGGCAGCAATACGTTCCTTTAGATTGACTGGAGGAGGGTACGTGCGCGAGGTCGCCCTATAGTCTCATGGTTAGCATACACAGATACACTAGAAGTTGTCCACGTACATCGACCGGGTAAACTATATCGAAATTTGAAACGAGAGGGTAGTTTCAGTGATGGCGGGTTGCAACGTTGTAACCACGAAATCAAATAGACGAGGAACACAAGGACAGGCGCCAGTTTGAACTTCGCAGATTTCTAAATGCCAATGGGATTACCACTAACGAAGTTCAAGTGAAAGATTAATGTTCAACGACTGGCTAGCAACGGTTGTGCGTGAAGTCAGGATTATATTGAGTGATCATCTGATCATCAAGATGTCGACGTCTTTCATCCTCCAAATACTTGGTCAACTTTGTCTACTTCAAGCTTATTCGGCTCGGACCCGTAACCTTGCTAAATAGTTCAATTTCCCAAGTTCTGTAATATACCATCAGCTGCTGTCGTCAGCGTTGTCGACCCCAATCCCCTTGGAGAGCCAAAATGATCTGCGTTTGCTCATCATACTTTGCATCCCATCACCAGGAACCCCGTCATCTAGACCTATTTCATAGGATGCTTCTTCCTCGTCTACTGAGTCATCTTCGTCGGTAGTGAATTCGGGTTGCTCGTCTGACTGACTAGTTTCATGCCTCTGTACAGTGCGCCGCTTTTCGATATGATATTTACCGAATTCGTCGTTATCTTGACGGGAACCGCTGGGTTCCTGCGGTAGCGACTCATCGTCGGTTTCGAGCACCATATCCACGCTACGCTCCCGGGTCCGTGTACGTGTGGTGCTGCCTGCAGTCATTGATAATTTGTTCTGAGCAGCAGTTTCGAGGACGTCAGCGACAACAATACGAGGCTTGGGAGAAGTTCCGAGAAGCTTATGGAGCAACCGCTGGTCATAAACTTCTTGGATTAATAATCGGTTGTTCAATGTCTGTTGCGATGTTTAACATGCGTTGAGAATATAAAGGGAACTATACCTCTTGAGTGACGCCAAGTATACTGGACAAAATGCTCATGTCTTCTGGTTCTCCGTGTCCACGTAAAGGGTACGTCCGCCCTTCCCTGCGTGCACCTAAGATCCCAGCCCGCAGGAAGGCCATTGATGTCATGATTCCGTGGGCTCCTGCAAGAGTCTGCCGAACTTTCGCAACTCCGTAAGAGCCTTTGGAAATATCATTTGCTGGTGGTAAAGGGAGCAATGGTGAACCATCTGCCAAAATTTAAAGGGGATAGCTCACAAGAATCGGTAGGGTCCTCAATGGACAAGAGGTTCCTCTTCGTGAAATCGTACCATCCTCTCTGTCTCTTGCTAAAATATGAGCCACCGTTACGCACGGATATTCCTACTTCCTCATAGTTGAAATAGCAACCATAGAGCTCGAAAAATTCCATAACTAAAACTCCAAGATTCTTCTCTGCATCTATCTCCCCTCTGCGAATCTTGGGATGCATCTGGAGGAAGCTGACCGCTAGACAGACAATACTGTAGCTGCCCAGACCGCCGGTATACACCTCGTTCATCCCCCGCTGATTTAGAAATGCTTTCGCGATGATGACGAGACTCCGGAGCGCAAACCCACACCCGCGCATGCCGTTGAGAAAACCGTTCACGATATCGCCAGCGACCACGCCATTACCCTGATTTACGCTGATATCAACGTTTAACCTGCCATAGATTGTGACGAATTTGATGATGGGCACTTTGGCTTTGGCGATGAGGGTAACTTTGGAAGCGATCCGCGCACGTTTGATAACATTGGCGAGGGTCCGTAGAACATTCACTTTATCACTGTAGGCCATCGAATCTGATTTGATCACAAGATCTATGTCCCTGCGCAACTCTTAGCATTGACTCTGACATGACACATATAATGTTTACCCATTAGGGAGGTATAGTTTGGTTTCATAGCTTCCAAAGGGTAGTATCCGGGCATCTGGGAACGCATTCGTGATCGCATTCGAAACTAGAGTGATTACAAGTCCTCGGATTTCCTCCTCGACTTCAGTTGGTGACATGTAACGAACGAATGCCTCAACTTCGCAATGCAACCTGTGGCAAATCAGTTCACAACGTCAAGGAAAGTTACAAAACGTACATCTCCGCAACATTGCGACAGCTGTCCCAGTCGACTTTGGCAATCCAAGGAGCCTTTCTTGAAGTGGAGGGAAAGTCCTGTCTGCGTTTTCTATGATCCCGCAAATCTTCATCATCAAAGACCATTTCGTACGTTCGTTTTGTTCCCCGACTACCTCCATCGCGCGAGCCATCCCCATGCGTTTCTCGTTTCCCTTTGTCCCATTCTCGTTCTCGCGCCTTCTCTTTTGTTATTTCCACATTACTGCGATGGGAGTCCTGCGTTTTGGGTGCTTCTGCTTCATTATCACTGATAGCAAACGGTATGAATTCGTCGCCAATCTCGAACGATCTACTGAATTCATCGGGCAGTTCGCCTAGCTCAAGTTCGGGATCCTTTTCTTTGCCTTTGCCATTGGTTCTTGCGCGTTTTGAACGTGGCTCCTTTGGTGTCCTATCGTAATCGTGTTCAACAGCCGTTTCTTTTACTTCCCCCCTCTCATCCTCCTGGTCTTTTGCTCGTTTACGTCGATGACTCCGGGGCGCCCGAGATTTTTGCCGTGGCTGAGAAACCGTGTCCGACATTGTCAGAACAAAGGGTGTTTGTTTGGATCAGAAGCCGTTGCCAAACAAACGCTCCGTGATGTCCCTTCCAGGAATGAACAAGTACATTTGTTCACAACCGTCGCCATACCATAGCATATATAACATCTGTACAAGTAATAACTCGAAATCCAAGGAAGCAGGATCAACTAATTGTATCAAGTGAATTTCACCCTCTTCAAACGGGTCCTTAGTACGTGCGTGTCCTCTTTTCCACCATCCTCCAAATAGGCGTCACTTTCCGCGAAATAATAAACTCCGGTGCTAACCTCTTGCACATCCTTCCCATATCCAATCCAACCACACTCAGGTATTGATGCCACACTCTTTGATTTGGCCTCCTCTGATACACCCTTCGTGGCTTCAGTGGACCTCACGCAAACCAGTGACTCAACTCCGACTAGGAATTCATTGAAATCCAGGTCCAAGTGAACCATTCCAATAATATTGAGGAACCCCTCCGCGATTTGAAGAAGCTCCTGATTTTTGGAGCTGGCTATCCATTTTTCATGAGCGCGCACATCATCCCATCCAGTGATGAGGTAGATCTCAGCAGGCTCTGCCGGATTTGTGAAGAAGGTTAATGAATAACCCGAAGAGGATAATTGCCAGGAAGAAACTTTGGAGAAGAGATCTACTACATGCGGGTCGGAGAGTGTATTAGGGGGGATCAACGAGAGGGATGCGAATTCGGTGATTGGCATAATGAACTGTCACTGGACCACAATGGAGCCTGGTGGGTGCTGAAGCGCTGAAGCTGGAAGCAACGAATCAAAACTATCTCATATCGTCTGCTGTACGTTTAAATACGCTGGACGCGTCAGCGCCTTCACTTTTACATCAGTCTCAATGAGCTTGCGTCATCCATAGATCCCGCTGACTCCTGACTGTTTCAACATTGTTGAAAATGGCCGAGAGCGCTCTCAATCGAGCATTGTGAATATATTGAAAACCATAAAAGTCGTAAAAATGCTTCGAGTTTAAGTGAGGCCCCAGGATCTGGGTGAAAGGGTACTCACTAAGAGCGGTGGAGATCGCCTTTGCAGACCATTAAGCCAGCAACGAAACGACACCATTAGAATCACTTGGAAGCTTCGAACTGACTTATAAGTAGCTCAACACGGGCGCAGCACCCACAACCCGGTAAGTGTGAGTGAGAGGGCCATTCTCGTAGGTTTTGCAGTACCCAGTGATGTTCACGAAACCGAAAGTCTGCCACTCGTTAAGGACGTTGTACTGGATGAACTGAGTATCAACCACGGTGAAGACGGGTGCAGGGTCGATTAGTGGGAGTGAGGAACAAGAACAATCGAGCGCCCTTTTGAGTACAGATCCTCGACCTGAGGCCCTGTAATTGTGTTAATAGCATATCGAACGCTCCGGGTATGATCTCCACCACCTGAGAAAACAGACTGTCAATGAGAATTCAATTTCAGTTATGTTCGTCTGCATGCAAATAGATCAATGATAAAGACTCCCATCACAGGAATGGTGAGAATGACCCACCCAGCCGAAAGATCTCGTCTGCATATTTATATTTGACTCTTGAGCATGCAAATACATGGAACTGTGCAGAACATGCGTACAACGTCGTTTACACCAATCCAAACGGCAAACAGACTATTTGCGATGAACCAATACTAGCGGCAACTGAAGCGCGTGCCACGACCATTTGCAGAAAAACCTGTCATGATGACTTCAGCTTTGCCATACAAGATCCTCCGGCGATTGCATTGTCAATTTGAGGGTGTCGGCAAAGATGATACGACGAAAGAACTCGTGTACGAAGACCGAGAATGATCAAGATCGTGCCGACCGATGGACTGAATGTAAGGTTGATTGTGAGTCACGATTACAGCATGTCAATGGCAGTCCATATGCTTCAATCGCAAGAAGCATCATTCATAAGACTTTGACTACACAGAACTGCAAGCATCTTCAAGATGTCAAAATTTCAGCAGATACAACATAAGAACCAAGGCCCCATCGATGGGACGAAGCACAGTACAAGACCAACTTGAAGGGTCACGAGAGGATACAGATTGCTCGTGCCAGAATTTCCTTGTCTCGATGTGAAGATTCAGAAAGACTAGTGAGAAGTCTAAAATGTTCGCTCACATTTAACTACTTAGCGTGTCAGTCGCACCATATCGGCATATATGTGTTCTCTTCGCATCTTCTCTTTAACAATGCGAGCCAGATATGTGTTCTCGTTGCGACCTGCAGCGCGAATAACTTCCTTATCTTGATCTGTCATCTCAGTGCGTAAATGCAACTGATTCTCCTTATCTGCCCGAATATGCATGTTGAGAGTCCTGTGCATTGTGCAACGTAAGGGACATTGCTAGAATTCAAAAAATAAGAACAGAGAACCTACTCTAGACATGTCATAGCACTCATGGGTTTCCTAATTTCAGCGCCCGTGACAGCAGAGACACCTAAGAATGGTTCCCGCGCCTTTGCCATATCAAGGATAATAGGTGGGAAGTGTAACTCAGCGGTTACTGCATTCCCTAGGTCCTCTGTGCAGCTAACGTCGATGAAATCCACGAGTCCAACAGGATCTTTGGCGAAACCCTCTGCGTCATGCCTTGCCCGAGCCTCACGCCATTTGTCTACCCGCACCGGCGTAAGTTCCCACGGTGTCATGGCATTGACCTGTACCATCCCTTGAAGCTTCTCTCCAGGAGATTTGTTGTTGAAATACAATCCAACGAAGTCTAGGCAATTACTCGGCTCGATGGCAATATCAACGCGCACCCCGAACGGCACATCGAATCCGATCCGGGGATTGTCAATCAGGCCACAGTCGATGACGACACCGAGTTTGAGGAGCCCCATGAGTATCGGATTCAAAATGAACATTCGTGTGAATTTGAAGGCTCCTGAGGAGCGTTCGACTTCGTGGCATCTCGGTTTGTGGGTGGGACCTATTGTGGTGTGAGTCAAGTCCAAAACTTGGAGCGAGGTCAGCAACAATAGGCAGCATTCTCACCAATGTTTCTTTTGGCACTGCACACGATATCAGCACTTTAGACATTTGTGTCATTCCAGTCGCAAATCCTTACCTCTTTTGAGCAATACCAGACGCTCTTGCACTAAAATATAATATTGTAACACTGAGGAACGCCCGTAACATCACTTGTATGTTTGACCGTTACCTTTGCGCATTTCAAAGGTTTCTCCAATGACGTTTGACACTGTGAACATTGTACGCGAAACATTTTCTGGTTTGCTTTGAGGTATTCGCTGGAAACCGCTGTAGCACGGAACTGATTGTCCCTCTCGGGATGAGTCGCATGGTGAACGAAGACGACTCTTGGAGTTGCAGAGGAGTTGTTCGTGTCAGTATTCATGTTCTGGCACAGGCGGTAGGAGACTCGGGTGAGTTTCGTGGCGAGTTGAGCGCCAGGGATACATAAATGTCTGCAACATGACTCATCCGAAGAAGCAAGTACTAGTTAGTCGCCCTCCCGTGACCAGTACTTATTTGATGACGCGCTGTCTCTAAATTCACATAGCGCTCTCGCTATAGACAGGTCATCTTCCCAACATGCTCAATCATGTCTCCCGCGACGCCTACAAGCCAGATGATATTGCTAGATTTTCATTCATACATTTGACCACCATGCGGACGCACAGCTTCGAAATTGGCTAGCCCACGTCTTGCATCATTTACGGATTCCGCTGACTCCTGACTGTCCCGACAATGGCCGAGATCGCATACCGCACGGCTCAACTGAACATCGCTTTAGGTTTAAGTGGAGATCTGCGTAGTGGGGTAACCACTAAGGGTGGTGGAGATCGCCTTTGCCAAAATGCTAGATAGAAATAGTATCATCAGGAACAATCAGGCGCTTAACATCAGGAACATACTTGTGAACAGTGAACAGTGGGTGCAGAGTATTAAGCCAGCTACAAAACAACGCCATTAGAATCGCTTGGGACCTTCGAACTGACTTACAAGTAGCTCGACACAGGTGCACAACCCTCAACCTGGTAAGTGGGAGTGAGAGTGCCATTTTCGTAAGCTGTGCAGTAACCAGTGACGTTTACGAAACCGAAAGTCTGCCACTCGTCAAGAAGTACGTTGAAGATGGGCTGAGTGTCTACTATAGTGACGGTGTCAAGATCTGGGTACTTGGATTCGAAGGTTTGCACGTATTGGGTGAGCAGTGTGTTGTACTCAGCAATATCAATGCCCATTTGCGCTGCAGCCGTAGGACCTTGTTCGACGAAAAGGGGTGCGCGATTGGTAGGCGGGACAGTGAGGAACAAGAACGATCGAGCGCCATTTGAGTACAGATCGTCAACCTGATTTTAATAATGTCAATAACATATCGAACGCTCCGGGTACAACCCCCCCTCACCTGGGAAAACAGACGGTCCATGAGAGTTCCATAGAATTCAACCTGAGTTATGTTGGTCTGGGTACAAACCGATCAGCGACAAATACTCCCATCCCGAGTACAATGAGAATGACCCACCCAACCGAAAGAGTTTCCCTGGATATGTACGTTTAACTGTTCGAAATACGCAAGATTGTGCGGAATATGCGTACAACGTCATTTATACCAATCCACACGGCGAACAGACTGTTTGTGCTTTCCCATGTAGCGCCAGCAGGCTTGGATGCCAAGTACTCGTTGAATTGAGCCACCTGATTAACCACAGAACTGCAAAAATGATTTAGACCACAACCGAATAGAAGGACTCTACACACACAGCACAGTGGGTAGATAAGGTGGAACAAGGGCTGCATCGATGGTTGCACCACTGTAAGCTAAGTTGAAGGTCTGGACTTTATATATCAGTATACCAGCCAGATAAGTAGATTATGCAATCACCTTCACGGCTGTTTGGTTGTATGTACTGGCTACTACGGTGTCAGACACAGTAATGTCCCTTTCTCTTGTTACTTACTCAAAAATTCGGCCCAGTTCTGACCATTCGATGAAGTCTGACGATATGAAGTCAGCCCAAGAAACGGTCAAAACACGGCACAGACGCTTACATATACTGGGTCTGGCGAGTTGATACCAGCAGAAACGTTATATCCATCAGAGGTATACGAGTCTCCAAATATAAACATGTATTCAGTCGCATTCCAGGAAAGGGCTGACACAAAAGAGCCTGAACAGAGTAAACCAATACTGGCAACGACTAGGCTGCGCGCCACGACCATCTCCAGAGAACGCTAGAAGGGATAAAATAGGTGGATTTAACGTACAGCCGTCATCACCTCTTATATAACCATGCTACAAAAGCCCTGGGTAAGGACTACACCCGACAATAATCCGCATTTCGGACTATATGCTAGATACAAGTGGCACTCGACCCTGTTCACGAGGTTCGGATAAAGGAATGACCTCTGCCGGGGAAAAACGGATTCAATCCAGCCCGAGCGGAGCCAGATTGCCTGGGGGACAGGGAATTAATCCATTGGATGACAGTACCAGTTCGTCGAGTGATGCCTCAGGTGCTTGCCCACGAGATCTACGTGGATCACGCGTGAAGGCCATCGCATAGGCCATGATGATCATGGGTCAGTTTGTGCTATTGATACTGCATAGAAGTCACTTTGGCGAGTTTGTTTCTCATGCTGTCATGATAACTCCCCTGCAGTTTGATTGTGCAGTTTAAGCGTACATAGATTGGTGGTTGGCTATCAGGTCAACCAGGCAAATGAGCACACACCAGTAACACGATCATTCCTAGTTCTTCTGTGGCAAAGTAGGGTGCGTTACAAGGGAGAATAGCAGATGGGTTCAAGCTACGGAATTAACTGTGGTGCGTGATGGTATGAGACGTATATTCTTTATTGAATGAAGGGTTATAAGTACCGATATGACGGATAGGGGCAGCGATACCGACGAAGCGAAACGACATCCATTGGTAGCAGCGTGGTTACGGAGCCAACAAGAACGCTTGATAAGTACACACCCGTATTGGCAAAAAAAAGCACCTCACCAAAAATACCTTCCATACGGTAATCCTATCATATAAGTATGTTACTAGCCATCCCTGTCTAGATCAATGCGAGATGTCGGGGATACTTGATCAGATAGCAAGAAATAGAGATTTTGCTGTGGAGGAGCAGCCAGCGTCAACATGGACGATGCGAGGGCACGGGGAGGGTTGAGGCAGCCGCGTTCTTCAAAGACAGTCGTCGGGCCATCACCGGTTCATATGATAGAACCCTGCGAATTTGGGACGTGCAAAATGGAGTATGGTAGGAAGTCCATTCTAGGGACATCAGGACGGGGAATTATCAATCGCCTTGTCTCCCGGTGAGAGCCAAATTATGAGTGATGGAAATGATACCATCATCATATCTGGGATGTCAAGAGCAGGAAGAATCATTGCATCCATCGCAATTTGCGGCCAGGTCAGTTGCTGATGAAGCATGTAGGCTGGGTGAGCTCAGTCCCTTGATTGCAGGAGACTCGCCGGCGGAGCTGGCGATGCAATTAAATTTTATGGAATGTGAAGGGCGTTGGCACTGTCCTTGCGACATGTCCAAGATATGTCCTCACAGGTGGACTAAAATGAACCCCCAACGGATTATACCATTCGGATTTGGCACACCGATAACTCCGAGTTCGTCGCGGAATTAACCGGTGCTACATAAAGCAAGTTTGAAGTGCTGTTTGGTTGCCTGACGGCCAGCAGCTTTTAGCTTGTCTCAGCACCATTCGACACAACAGTCAAATTCCGGGAATCCATTTATGTAACTTGGAGACCAGGTCGGGTAGCGTTGCACCACTGCTTTATGCGACTGGTCCGCTCGCTCGCCATCTTGCGATGACTCTCGAATCTTCGAGTTCATTGCCACTACATCGGACGACAAGACCGTGTGACTGTGGAACACCGGCTAAGTTGAACACGCGCTTGAACATACAACGGGGGTTTAAGTACTGTGTCGCAGTTTCTACCAATGGGGAGCTGCTCGTCAGCAGAGATCGCCAAGGGAAGTGTTGCTCTGGTCCATCGTGGACATAATTTAGGCAGTGATCCACAGCACCCTCTTTGAATACCCCAGTAAGGTGAATTTGGAACGGAACCTATTTCGAGAGGCCCTTCATGATGCAGAGACGGTGTGGACGATATTTGTTATTTTCCTAGCAATTGTGCTGATCATTACTGCTTTGCGAATCGGAACATGCTCCCGAGGGATGCAAGGTAAGCCCCAAATGACTCATGCGACAACGTGAAGAAAATTGACTCATTCTCCAGATCTGCGTCAGCATCATGTCAGAGTAGAAGTTGCCATTCGACGAGTCGTTCATGCTCACCTGGAAAATGCCCCACTTCATCTATTCAACACCTCTGCTGGGCGTGTATTGAATCGAGATGCACAGATCCACACTTCGTGGAAAGCACAGAGTACATGGAGATCTTATCATCATCTGTGGCGCATGCGCCCCCACACGGAGCCTATCGATGTTGAAATGGTCAAAGGTACTTCAGCTGGGACATGTTATCGCATAGGCGGGAAAGAGGAGCTGCTGCTAGTGCATGACATCCAGGACAAAGTCACGTATGATTTGGAATTTTGGTCAAGTTGCAGCCATTCTTCAAAATTTCCCGTGATCGGGATGTCGCTGGGCATGGAGTAACAGGGCCACCCGACAGACATTCTTGCTCGTCCGTCGTTATGACCTTGATCTACCTGACTTTGCAGACGATAACGATACGAACAGCCTGAAAGATTTGTCGTAGCCCGAGTCCTCATCGGATGATTCTCCTAGCGGGCCTTATGGAGAGGATGAGCCAGTTGATTCAGAGTCTCGCTTGCGATCTCTGAGGTTCATCGTTCGCCTTTGACAGCCTTTTGGTACAGTCCTGTTGGTGCATCAGCGCGGTGGAGAGTACAGGAGAATTGCTTTGGATCACAGGTCATGGTTGCTGTTCAAGATATGATGGATGTCAGGACGCTAGACATATTGCGTGTTTGACGCGTTTTCATACCTTGATAGTACTTGCCTGCATTTTGAAAATGTTCCTGGGCATATTTACTATATTGCATGCTGACTGGTGACAAGAAATTAAACGTCGAAGTGTGATGCTTTCCCAGAGCGATGAAAGGGGTTTTCCTTTTTTGTCAGATGATGAACGTGAGATTTCCTTCCGTTGTCATTACATACTATTCCGCAAACCATTCCAAGTCAGCAAACAGACCTGGTCAAATATTCATGATTTCGGTTGGTCGTTTTCAACATTGGCATCGGCAGTGCTAAGTGTTGTATCTAGGCATTCTTTATATTCAATCAGAAGGGAGAGGTGCGCTTGGTTGTCTCATCATCGTCTTCTCTTTATAACGAATTCGTGACGCCAGGTTCTCATATCCAGACTGTATCGGACAGACTTCAAGTAGGATCGCTTTCTATTCACGCCCTTACTCGTCTTATGCATTATAGGCGATCCATCGCAGACGTATTCCGGATACAAGTCGTGTCTAACAGTGATGTGCGATCTCCCATCATAACGTTGGGCTCGACCAGTTTCTTTCATGTGCGGGTGAATAACCTCTACATTGTCTGCGTGACAAAGTGTGTCCCACACCTCTAGCTGTATTTTTTGCACTAATCATCAGCTCAGGACAAACGCAAATGCTGCCCTCGTCTTTGAATTTTGCTACCGTTTTATTAGTATCGCCAAGTCATATTTTGGAAAAGTGGATGAGGAATCCGTCAAGAACAACTTCGTGCTGATATACGAATTAATTGATGGTAAGACGTTCTTATATGTCTGGATGGCGCTTCATCAATAATGCTCTACAGAAATCAGTGACTACGGATATCCTCAGAACAGCGAGATCGACACCCTCAAATCTTATATCACCACAGAAAGCGTAATATCTTCGGCTATAGCAGCTGTTTGCCCTTTCCCTTACTGGTCGATTGACATTCTGCTGACGGGACTTTAGGAGGAGTCCTCGAAAATCACTACACAAGCCACGGGAGCGACAAGTTGGCGACGTGGCGATGTGAAATACAAGAAGAATGAGGCATTTGTCGACGTGGTGGAAACTGTCAATCTAAGCATGAGTGCAAAAGGTGCTGACGACTTGGACTTCCTCTTGTGCATCGTGTGTTTCATGATTGTTCTCCAGGGACTGTCCTCCGTGCTGATGTGGATGGGCATATTCAAATGCGCGCGTATCTGTCTGGGACGCCAGAATGCAAATTCGGTCTCAACGACAAGCTTGTCATTGACAAGAATAGCCAAGGCGGGGCAAGCGACGCGGTAGAGCTGGATGACTGTCGCTTCCACCAGTGTGTTAGGCTCAATGAATTCGACACAAGCCGCACGATCAGCTTTATTCCTCCCGATGGCGAATTTGAACTGATGAGGCGAGTCACTTTTATCCTTCTCAGTTCCACAGCAAACCACTGAAAATATACGTTATGCAGGTACCGCTCGACGTCAAATGTCAAATTGCCTTTGCGAGTGATCCCTACGGTAAATGAGATTGGGACGACGCAGGTGTCGTACAACATCGCCGTGAAAGCCAACTTTGGGACCAAGTTGTCCGCCACCAACGTGGTTTTACGGATACCAACACCATTGAACACGACTGGCGTGGACTGCAAAGTTGCAAATGGTAAGGCTAAATATGTACCTGCCGAAAACGTGGTCGTATGGAAGTATGTCACCTGGTTCACTTGGGATGACTGCTGCTTATATTGTGTCCAGGATTCCACGGATTCAAGGTGGACAGGAGTGCACCTTCAACGCGACTGCTGGTCTTACTAGCACTACCACTCGGCAAGTTTGGGCTCGGCCACCTATTGACGTTGATTTTGAAGTTTTGATGCTCACCGCATCTGGTCTGATTGTCCGGTTTCTCAAAGTCTTTGAGAAAAGCAATTATCATAGCATCAAGTGGGTACGCTACCTCACCAAAGCGAGTGGGAGTTATCAGATTCGGGTATGTGGTTAAACCATCCGACTCGTGACAGACCGCATGCTGATAAATGGCAAAGTTCTGATGCGATCAGTATTCCTTACATTTGTTGACTTATATACTACATCCTTGGACAGTCGTGTTAATCACATACCAACTGATGGACTTTGGATCCTTCTGAAATTTTAACTACATGTTGTCGGGACTTGTGTTTGGAGTACCAATCAAGTAACAACTATACACACTGGCTGGCAGGCCCTGACTTGGACAGCGCTCCTCAGCTCTGTTCCTCAGTTTCAACAACATCACTCCGCTTCCATGTTCTGGAGGTAATTTCTTTCCCTTTCCACATATTGTAGTTTTAAAATGCAGTGTGAACTCTATTCTTGAGTAGATTCGGATTTCACAACACATCCTCCATCGACAGTCTACTGGACAAGGATGATGTTTCATTAGAGGCAATTCTAGACGAAGACGATCTACTACAGGAATGTAAGTCGCAGAACACGCGGCTCATCGACTACTTTCAGCGTGTAGACGTCCTGAAAAGACTTCTGGGGTATGTGACTGGTCAGATTGCAGGCGAAGAGGACCGAGGACGGTTCAAGTAAGCCTTATCTCCGGTACTCTGCCTCATGGGCAACTCCACTGATCAATTCTAGATATCCATATGTCGCTACAGAAGTTCTTTGCAGTGAAATATGGTCGATAGTGGAAACCTGCGTCAATTCGTCGGACCAGCTGCTGACACCGTTCTGGGAAACGGTTCTCGACAAATCTCCCGAAGAGATGAAGACAGAGATGGTCATGGCCTCTCACTTTGCCAAGATTAATGCTGTCTTCCTCACTAAGAAGCCGGCGGAGGTGAATGACTATCTTTTCACCCCTCGTCCTCTGACGAATCTAGAGCTATGCTATGTGCTCAGATGCTCGCCTTCATCCAATCCCAACCATCTGTCGTAGAGCGCCTCTTGCGACATGTTGAGACGCCATCCGTGGTTGACCTTCTTGTCCGTATTATCCAGCTGGACGAAGTCCCGGGTGGTGCAGGGGTTCTTGAAGTATGCTCTTATATGCAGCATTCTGCGTGGCAGCTTACCCAGTATCGCAATTCAGTGGCTTTCGTCGGAGAACCTTATGGGCAGATTGGTTGAGCTGCTTTCCCCGGCGCACACCAGCGACATGCACACAGTGGTTTCAGAACTGATCAAGGGGATACTTTCCATGGCTACTGCGTCACCTGCGCCAGGACTTACGGATGGTCTGCAGAATGGAGTTGCTTCGAATCTCTTTTCCAGGGAGCTGGCGCGGCCCGAGAGCGTTTCAACATTAACTGACTACATATTAGGCGATTTCAGTTCATTAGCCGAAGCCGAAGCTCAGCAAGCCATCCACGATGATGATTCTACTGATTGTAGTTCCTTCACCTCAGGACTCCCAAATCTTGACTCCTCCGTTTCTTCTGTTGTCCACTCGATATCTGTGGTCATCGAACTTATTCGGAAAAATAACTCGGATTATTTCGAACCGTACCTCTTCCATACCCTGCGAAATCGGCTGATTCATATCCAACAACAGCTGGCAGGGGCTGAAAATGGGCGCGCGAAGCTTGAAGAATCCATGAAGGAGATGTCGGACAGAATGGGTGTGGTTCACCTGGGCCCCTTGCTGGAGATTATGGGCGAACGACTCACGACCTTCGAGAAATATCTTCGTCGACCACGATCTTTGGTGAGTCTGTCGGTTATCACTCGAACTCTTGATATAACCTTCCCCCCTCAGCAAGGCCCCATACCCACAACTGTAGGTGTGATCACGCCTCTCACCTTCGAACGATTTCGGATATGCGAGTTGTATGCTGAACTCCTGCATTGCTCCAACATGGCTATATTGAACCGTCCCGGGGAGTATAGCGATCTTTATGACAAGCAAGGTCGATTACAAGGCGGGCTATCATCTCTGGAGCATCTTGCTCGTGTAATTGCCATCGGTTCCGGAGATGAAAGAGACCAGGACGCAATGGACGACAACCATGACGATGTTGAGCCTGCATTGGAGTTGCCCGTCACAAACCGATCACGAGGCTCTTCGCTATTAGATTCGGATGAAGACATGAGCGATGATGAACCTGGCAGCTCGGATGACGACGTCCTGGAGGAGATCATGATGGATGACCCTCCAAAGCTGCAACATTCACCATCAGAAGATCTTCCGCCACAGGAACCTCCAATAATCGACCCTTCCTCGCTTAATGCAGCATCGTTAGCTCCACCTGCCGAGATTGCAGCTCAAGGTACTGCAAAACGGACTTCCAGCACGTCTAGTAGTAGTGATAGCTCGACTGCAAAATCTCCTTCCATACATTCGCGCAGAAGCTCCAAACGGATGGTTAGCATTGATACAGTGCCAGGTCTCTCGATAGGAGAGACAACAAAAATGCGCTTCTTGGAGGCCAATGTTTTGGGGACCTTATTGGTGAGTTGCCAATTTTCCGTACTGCTGCTGTACTTACACATTTGACTAGGACCTCTTCTTCGAATTCCCTTGGAATAACTTTTTGCACAATACGGTCTATGATTTCATCCACCAAATTCTCACAGGTAGGACTGATGGAGGACTGAACAAAGAATTGTCGATCTCTCTCTTCCGGGATGCTCATATCATGCAACGTATCATCGACGGTCAAAGGCGAAATGATGCAGAAAGGTACCACGCTTCGTCTTATCGTTGCATGATCTCAATTATACTCCTCTAGCTCAAAGGCAAAGGGTGTTCGGCTTGGTTACATGGGCCATCTGACGCAGGTGGCAGAGGATGTTATTGGAGCTCTTGAGCATTATCCACCCAACCTTCGGTTAATCATTGAGCAGTATGCGCCTCAGCCTGCTTGGCAGGAGTACGTGACGGGTCGCTTTAATGAGACCAAGAAACGGGATACCAGCCTCCTTGGCGGAGGGAGGCCTGTCGTTACCTCAAATTCACGTGCTGGTGGTAGATGGACGGTTGACGAGGAAGATAGAGGCTCATCGATGAATGCAGCTGCGACCACAGGACCTGGAACTACTGGTGAATTCAGGAGATCTGTGACCACAAGACCATCAAGGGCAACAAGTGCTGACTTCGGTCCTGCGCCGATGGACGATGACGAAGACGACCATGGTGTTGGACCTCCACAAGTATGTCCTGCTTCACTCGGAAACAGAGAATTGGCTCATTTTTGTCCAGTTTGCTCGCTACTTGGCTCAAGAGATGCACTCAAGAGAGCAGTTCAACTCATCATCTGATGCTTCGGATGAAGATGATGAAGAAGACGGCGGGTGGCTGGCTCAATCGTCATTTGATTTAGGCAGACCACCCCTTCGGAGAAATACTGGAAATCGACAAGAAATGTCTTCAAATGGTTTTGACGTAGGTATATCCCCATTGTATCATTTCCCTGAAGTAATTTGGCCCCTCCAGGATGCATTCAATCCTGGCCCTAGTGGTGCTTTGAGGGAGGCGCTTGCTGATGATCCTTTTGGGGTAAAATATGATGACGTGAATAACTCTACTTCTCTCACGTTGAGCTCTATTGACACTCCCTCCAGGACGATGGTTTTGGCCCATTTTCCGATGCAGCGGCAACCTCCCCAGATCACTTCAATTTTTCATCGTCTTTCTCATCTGATGACTCCTTTGACTTCGGGGATTTTCAGAGCTCAGACGACAGCATCCATGACGGTGAGCTCACCCCGACTGCTGGGAGCTGGACTTTGGCAAGTGGTTCAGAATCAGAAGGGGACGAGTTCGGCAACCCTGGAAAGGGTTCGAATGGAATGCATCCAATATCGTTGGATGATTTAAACGGACGACTGGAGGAGAGTAAGGACTGGAGTTAAAAAGCGGTGTGTTCATAGCGTATTGTGCGCATCATCTCAGATGATGCTCTACTGTTCATGTGTACATATCACAGCACATATTTCTTCTATTCATTGTCTCATGTAATATATGTTCAAGGCTAGTTATGGCGTGAACTGATACCCTCCACCCCTTGATTCTGCTGTGAATTGAAGCTCAGCAAGTACTTTCCCAGTTGGATCAGCAAGAGTGCATTCAACACTGTCACCTGGATTGACAGGACCAACACCGGAAGGAGTTCCAGTGAGTATGAGATCACCCTCCTGTGTATTCGAGTGAATAAATCAGGACTGCGGACACGATTAGTCTGACGCACCTCCAAGGTCATGATGGAAGAGATGTGTTCAATGAGTCGTGGGATACGAAAAATCATGTCCCCAGTCGTGCCATTCTGCTTGATCGCACCATTAATCTAGCACACAAAGAATCGCGTCAAGACATATTCCCGCTCGACGATTAAGACAAACCTTCAGGGAGAGCTTGAGGTCATGAGCATCAGACACGGACGACTTGGGGATAAAAGACCTGATCACAGGTTCAAGACACATCGACATAACATGTTCTCATGACACACCCAATGGGAGTGAACGTATCGAAACCCTTCACAGCAGACCAAGGCAGACCCTTCTTCTTCACCTCGTCCTGCATATTTCGTGCGGTCATGTCGACAGCCAAAGCTATGTATTCTAATGAGCATTCAAAACATTTCACAGAACATTTTGCCCACCGTAGCCCGCAATGTGGGACTCCGCTGCATCCTGGGAAATGTCCCGACCGCCTTTCCCGATTACGAGGCCAAGTTCAACTGCGCTGCAATTCATAGAACTATTACAAGAGCATAATGTCGAAGCGGACCTTCATGGTGTGCTACTACACCGCGTGGAATTTCAACCTTTCCTCCAGTAGGGAGGTAGCTCGTCGTGGGCTTGAGAAAGAAGAAAGGCTCTTTCGTCTTGGCATTGTTGAGCTCCTTGATGTGCTCAGAGTAGTTTCTGCCAATGGCAACGATCTCGGTTCAAAGTCAGCATAAGTTAGCCGCGTAACAACGTTCGAATTTCACCTTTTTCCCCTGCCTCACGAACTGAGCTGCTGCAGACATAAGGATTGACGAGCACAAGCAAGACGGAACACCGCGCGAAGGTTATGGTGGTCACGTGAGAAACTTATCAATATGCTCGTGGCGGTGACCCAAGTCACCCGACGCAGACTGATCCGAATTTTCCACACATCTTACAGAGCCAATTTCCTTCGGCATCGGTCCTGCATTCAGATCTAGTCTCCTTCCCGACGCTTTGCCAGCAGTGCCTATTCGTACAGCTACCCTGATCAATCTGATCTACTTCTCATTTCCAGTCCACTTGATCCTGTATCCTACGTTTGCGTTGTGAGATATATCCCTAAATCACCAAGCGTCCTTCCTCCCACCTTCAGTCCAATTCCTGTACCATCATTGGTCCACTCTGTCGTCCGTTTGCACTATACATCGGCGAGTTTTGATCCGCGGGGGCGGTACTAGGATTCTTATGGCTGTGATTTTGGCTCTGAACGTGTTCGTTCTTTCGCCCTTGATGTGTCTTAGTGTGAAGTACACTTGCACTAGAGCGCCTTTGAGGTGTCGACCGTATCCTCCTGGCTCGATTACTGCGCCGTCAAAAGCAAAGGCCGCCAGTAGAGTTGCGTAATGCGTCCTTGACGACTCGTCCAACACTTCTCGTGCCTCTAGTGTGTGCGTGGGCCACTCCCCGATGTCGTTATCTTCCGCCACCTTCTGCCCTCTCTGTCTTTTCATGTTAACGCGTGATCTTCTCCGTCTCTATTCGGGCTCACCTTCACAAACTCGTGCTCAAATTTCAGTCTGACCGTTCTATCCTCGGACAAGAATCCTTGTCGCCCGAAGATGTTGGCTTTTGCAGCTTTCTCTTGCAGTAACTTCAGATTATTTACCGTGACATCATCGTCGCTTGCAAATGGGCCTGTGCGAGGCAACTCTACCATGCACGTAGGCGTCGCGTCTTTGATGTGCTTCACTGCAGCAGTGGGCCCTTGCCAGTCTGCGTCGCTTGTCAGGTGGCATTCCAATACTATGGTAGCACCAACAGTGCAGAGTGCCGTTGGCTCCCAAGGTGCCTCCTTGCACACCACGTAGTGTCTCCTCCCCACCTTCCTCCACTCGACCATGTTGAGTAGCTGCTCATCTCCTGTATAACCTCCCTTGATAAGTATTCCTTCCCGAATGGCTCGAAGCAGATTTGAAGTTATTTTAGTTACTTTGGTCTACCTCACCTGTTCCTTGCCTTTAATCCCAGCACCGCTCACAGCCCGATTTTTCAAGTTATGTATGGTGACACCATCGTGGATCTCAGCCATCGATTTTCACGCCTGATTTGTGGGCGTGAACGTGCCCTTCGCCTCGCTCGTGACCTAGTGGCTGCCGCCGATTTCTTCGAATTTTGCTGGCGCATGTGCTTCGAACATCTTTTGGGATAGGACTTCAAAACTGAATCTTCCACTGCGCAAGGCGGCATTTTCGGACGAATCATGGTCTTTTACGTGTCTTCGGAATACGCGGAAAGAGGTTCATTGCACGGTCATTTCTTTGATTTGGTTGGACGGTGCGTGTATACGGACATGCACCAGAAACTTCGAGATCCTTCATATCAGGCAAGGTTTTTTGAATTCTTTGAAGAGATTATCCACCATCATTTGCCAGACGTTGCGACCGAGCTTGACCCGAAGTTTGATCCACGTGTGGAGCGTCCACCTCTGCCTCCACCCTCCTCGCTTGCAGATAACGAGTGCTTGGTAGACTCTGATCTTTGGGACCATGTATTTCAAACGCAAGTCACGGAAGTTCACGTGCCAAACCGTGGGAAAATTCCAGCACCCCGCATCGTCACCTTCGTACACTTCGCACCCCGAAGCTGCGGCTTCGGCCAGCTTAGGTTCACGACCTAGGCTTGAAACTAGTGAGTAACTGCAAATCTGAAATTTGGGTGCATCTGTCTATCCAGTGATGCAGGCGCATGAAGATTGGCTGCCCCTACACTACCTGTGTATAAAAGCTAACGTAGTTTTTGACTCAGAGGGAATCGTCAGGTTTCAGCGATGATATTCACCTCACTCACAATCATGATCATATCTGCCGCAGCGATGGCTGGCGTAGCTTTCGCTGCATCTGGAAACACCACCCATTGGCTCACCTTGCCACCCCTCTTGTAAACACTTTTGCGGTCTACGTGCAGACTTTAGACCGCGTGCTTACGGCTGGTATCCGCAGATCCAGCGAGGTGCTCAACGAGCATGCAAGGTTTCGACAACGACAACGATTTTGCGTATGCTTGTGGACCTGATGGCACAATTACTGACTACGAGGCATGTGGGTGTAAATATTGCTGTCTTGTGAATCCAGATGGGCTCGGCTGTCCGGATGGGGACGTCTGGCCCCCTAGGCGAGGGGTGGAGTAGCAGCCGTGTAGCATGTGCTTTAAAGGACTTTTATAACTAACGTCATAGAGTTCTGTTATCTATAGAGCCTGGACTCAGGAGGATCATCGTCATATCAGATGATTCAGATCTACATCATGCATATCAATCTAATTGTGTCGTGCTCAGTAAACATTCCGTGCTACGGCGCAAGAAACTACTGATACACTTGCTGACTTCCCTCAGGGAAATTCATACTAGTTGATGATCATGCGCTCACATGGATTTGTCGTTCTTTGACAGCTCATGTATTGATCGGGCCTAGTCGGATTTTCCCGATCGAGGTCTCGGCCGACTATTAGGTGTGAGTCGAGTCACTCTTAGCACCTCCAAGACTTCAAAAATTGTTGTTTCAAAGCAACGCTTTCTCAAAACCTGTCTTGTTCTCGTCGCTCTGCTCAACGACGACCATGTCGTTCCCTGTCACATTTCGTGTATGCAATGCACCAAAATCTACTGCAAAAGTCTCATTTACCCGCCCCCGCTCAACTGTCGCATCATCTTCGATTGTCGACGCGAAGGCTAGGATAAGAGACCATGCTAGAAGTATCAGTAGATCATCAATTCGAGATGCTACTGCGGTTCCTGCTGCGTGCGTGTTATTCATGTGTCTTTTCATATCTCAAGTCATCTGATAGTATCCACTCGCAGTCGACCTTCCCCAGCTCCTGGATTCCAGCAGCTGCCACAGAAGAATAATCTTCCATTTGACTTAGAGTCGCATACCAACACACCTCTGGATCATTCCTTTGTTGGCATGTCAGGTGGTCAGATTTTTCACGAGATGATGCTTCGGCATGGAGTGAAGCATGTTTTTGGTTATCCCGGCGGGGCTATTCTTCCCGTGTTCGATGCCATTTATAACTCTAAACATTTCCACTTCGTTCTTCCTCGTCATGAGCAGGGCGCTGGGCATATGGCAGAAGGTTATGCTCGCGTATCAGGAAAGCCTGGTGTCGTCCTGGTGACTTCTGGTCCAGGCGCAACCAACGTCGTTACAGCAATGCAAGATGCGCTTTCTGATGGCGTTCCTCTCGTTGTTTTCTGCGGCCAGGTAGCAACCTCGGCTATCGGGTCTGACGCGTTTCAAGAAGCCGACGTTATTGGTATTTCACGTAGCTGCACCAAGTGGAACGTGATGGTCAAGGACATAGCAGAACTGCCAAGACGCATCAACGAAGCATTCAAAATTGCAACTTCTGGGCGTCCTGGACCTGTGTTGGTCGATTTGCCCAAGGATGTCACTGCTGGCATTCTTCGTACACCTCTGCCATACAAAGCGACTACTCCAGGCTCGCACACTCTACCTGCGAATCCTATGCAGCCTATTTCTTCTCTAATCGACATGGCGTTGATCCAGCAAGCTGCCAACCTCATCAACCAGTCGCAACGACCTATCATTTACTGCCGGCAATGGTGTCCTCTCATCACCTTTGGGTCCCAAGTTACTTGCGCAATTGGCTAAGGAGGGTAACATTCCTGTAACGACCACTCTGCAAGGCCTCGGTGCCTATGACGAAACAGATGAGAGAAGCCTGCATATGCTTGGCATGCACGGGTCTGCATACGCAAATTTGGCAATGCAACAGGCGGATGTTATTATTGCCCTGGGTGCACGATTTGATGACCGTGTTACGGGCAAGGTTGATACTTTCGCACCTGCTGCCCGAGCTGCTGCCTCGCAGGGCCGCGGAGGTATCATCCACTTTGAGATTCAGCCGAAGAATATCAACAAAGTCGTCAATGCTTCCATCCCTGTCCTCGGCGACGTCGTTTCCAACATGGCTGCGCTCGTCCCCTTGATCCGATCATCACCACGCACACAGTGGTTCGGTGACATCCAAGAGTGGAAACAGAAATACCCCTTCACATACGTCCCCTCAAAGTCTGGTGCACGATGCAAGCCACAGGAGGTTATCGAGGAGTTGGACCGGCAGACGGCCCACAAGAAGGATGATGTTATCATAACTACTGGTGTTGGTCAACATCAAATGTGGGCGGCCCAACACTTCCGATGGAAGACGCCTCGTTCAATGGTTACTTCTGGTGGTCTTGGTGTGAGCTATCGCCTTTTTCCACGAGATGTCAGACGTTGACAGTTTTGCAGACCATGGGTTTTGGCCTTCCTGCTGCCGTTGGTGCCAAAGTGGCGGCGCCTAACAAAATTGTTGTTGATATCGATGGTGACGCGTCATTTAGCATGACTGCCATGGAGCTCGCCACTGCCTCGCAGTATAACATCGGTGTCAAAGTCCTTATCCTTAACAACGACTTCCAGGGTATGGTCTTGCAATGGCAAGGTTGGTCGATCCCACCTTCAATATATGGATGGTTCTCATGAGAAATCTAGATCTATTCTATGATTCCAGGTACTCACACACTCGGATGACAAATCCCGACTTCGTCATGCTTGCTAAAGCTATGTACGTACACGCGATTCGATGCGAATCTGCGGCAGACCTTCCTGCAAAGATGAAGGAGTTCCTGGAATACGACGGCTCGAAGCCCGTTTTGCTGGAGTGCAAGGTCGAAACTGACGAGCACGTGTACCCGATGGTGCGTTTAGAGAGGCCAGTCTATCTTTGAGTCGGGTAAACTAATTGTTGCGACCAGGTTCCCGCCGGGAAGGCGTTGCATGAGCAGGTCCTGCACCCTATCCTGAGGCCAAAAGAAAAATCCGACGCATGATCTAATTTTCATTATTCTCGATCTATATGCATATCAATCTACTTTTCTCTTCGCGCACATCCGCACATCCGATTTACAACAAACCGTTTTCACTGTGTACTAACATTCATGGGCTCGACCATCTTTTATTGACACGAATCACATTTATCTACGGCGTCCCTGGGATCGCAAAAGGGATGTTGAATCCCATGGGCATATTGGGTATTCTGTATGGCTACTCCAATTCACAAAACAGAAATAGTATTACTGGTGCGCGAGTGGTGTCCGAGAATAGCGTTTGAGCTATCATTAGCTTCTCCCGACGAGATCGAATATGGTCCTACTATTAGCCAGGTTCATCATCGCTGTGCAACTGTTGGATACAAGATCGGGATATCTATTCATATAGGCAGTGTATGGAGGTGTCCGGTGATCCAGTTTTGTATGCGATCAGTGTGGAGATGGGCGTAGTGGGGCTCGGGACGTCGAAGATACGACTGCTTGGCAAACTTTGTCTCCTGTGTTACCGTGGTGCTGTGCATCCGGTGGCCAGGGCAGACCAAGTGAGGACGGTCAAAGTTCAAAATAGCAGTTCGTTCTTCCCCAAGAAAGCCGTACCCAAGGCTAGTCGTGATGCGGCCAGAATTAGCCAAGAGGGTGCGATATTAGACAGCGAGCCTATCGCAGGTCAGCCAAGGCCGCGTTTGCCGCACTGTATTTGGGAAGATGCTATCCCCTGTCCTTATTCATTCATTGACCAGTCTAAGCTCAGATCCATCAAAGCGTAATCGGTTCAAACACGATGACGAGTTTCGCGTACTGAGTAGAGTTTACCCAAGCTAAGGTTCGCGACGACGCTGTGAGATTATCAAGGCACGATATTCAGTCGAAAAAGTGTTTACGCACCCCTATGTGTGACATGATAGAGACGGCTGATGGGAACACCGGTCTAGTATATAGGCACAAATCCGTCGCGTCGCGAACTCAGACGACGAACAGGCAGAAACCTCATGCAACAGATGAGTAAATGATACAGACAACTGCATTGCGCTGTTGGAATGCTTTCAGGGAACTGGAGCTAGATCGAATGAAAATGGACACAGCTCACTAGTTCAACCGATGATATCCGACTGAAATGCTCACCTGTGGAAAAAGCCTTAAATCACGCCACTGTGGGTCCATTGGACGTGGGCTATGGAGCTGTGGGAAATAAACAGTGAACCGTGTTGCCCCTCAGACCGTGGGCAATAAGACCGCAGTGAGCGTGAAGGTTTGATTGACATTCGGTAGACTAGAGATGGATTCATTAGTCTCTCTTGGCCACGGTTAACCTTGTAGCACAGCGATAAGTAATCTCCACTCACTGTTGGATCTCCTGATGGGGATACAATGCTTGAGGATGCCTGGGCCCTTCAGGGAATAATTGCGCATGCAAACCATGATGTATATCCTGAGGCACAAACTCTCTTTTGCGAAGTAATAGTATGCATGTCACGCAAGAGGGCCCTCGGAGCAACGATCCGAATCAACGTCGAAAGCGAAGCGCCAAAACGCTAATTTGTATGTCAATATATGACATTCACCAAACCTTGGGCAACTGATGCTGAACCTACACGACACGCAGGTGGAGGCTGGTGTTTTACGTTCTCCCATGACAGATTGCCTCGCCTTGAATGATGCCCGTGAATGCGCTTGTCTGGAAGCGGGGAGGCATAGCTGGTAGACGCTTGATCGACTCCCGCGAGTAGCTTGGCTCCATGATCTTCTTAGCGCCTCGAGTTGAGAATTGCGGCACGACAATGCGAGCGGGATTAAAGCGGACCTCTTGACGTAAGTAAACGTACGCGATGCGGACCGACCGGTGTTTTTTGAAGTCTGAAGACCAAGGACAAACTTGTTGTCCCTGAAAGGAGCGTCGTCGACCTCTGAAACATTCTCGACATTCTCGAACTCCAAGAGAAAAGAGCGGTGTTACGCCACCACTTGATTGGTGGCGATATGAATGAGCCTATGTTAAGAACGAAATCAGAAGACAAGCATACCACGGGTAAAATCTGGTGAGTTTGATCAGTTCACAGATCATTCAATTGCTGATTAGAACGTTAATACGTACGACAGACTCCCACTGCACGCATAGATGCAAGAAAATGTGTTCAATCAATCATAGACGTCTCAAACACAACCCATCAACACACTAGTACTGCGATGCAGCACATCAACTAGAGCTGTCTACATGCCGCCACTTTCTTATCCCCGTCAGGGATTCAAGGGGATCCGGATGACTCAGCGCAAGCATTAATATTATAGTGAACGATTTGATCTGCATGCCGGAATGCAAGCCTGAGACTCGGAGCGCGCAAGGTGAGCACGCAAATGAATATGGATATCAAATAAGAATGCCGGCCTTCAATTGATACGCTGCAGCTGGAGGATCCATGGATTCAAGGGTATCACCGGGGTAATCGACCTGGCGAATCACTGCCTGGTATGCAGGTGTATTCATATGGCGGCCTCGGATAGGAGTGCCACGCATAGTCGTCGTACCGATAGAGGGCATCGTCTAGCACCATCGCTTGGGACATGATCACGGAAATCATGAAATGGTGAGTAAAATTGATAATAGGACTCAGATATGGCTTCAGGTAGACACACATAGCAGGGCAACATCACGATCTTCGGAAGCATTCCATCCCTAAACAAAGACATTCGCAACGCGGCACTGTGCTGCTACCCCATCTACTCCTAGAACTTTCGTCGACCGCGAATCATCCACAGCGGTACCGTCCAGCTTGAAGATTACGAGAATCAGACAAGAGAGGTGAATCACAAGTCGAGGCGCGCAGTAATGTCCAATATTCACGTTTTTTCTTTCATTGTGAGTGTTCAAAATGGCTCTAAATGAGATTATCACAAGGAGATCGCCGGACGATATGAATAAAACGTGCATCGATGTCTTCTAACACACGACAAGCGTCCAGTATGGAGCTTCATTCTGGGTTGACGGTCCTTATTGGTAACCCATCTAGAACCGTGAGGATCCATCGTGTTGACACAGAGATAATGCGCGGAGGTTCGAAGATGAGATTATCGGTGTGAGATCAGTAGTTGAGGAATGTGCGTGTTGAGTTGACAAAGGCGTTCTGATGACTAACGTAGTGGTGTGTTTGTAATTGTCAGGATTCTATCGATCACCGAAAGATAATCGCCGTCATACAACGATAACTGCGCACAATAACGGCTTACCAGTAGCAAAACTGGATAACCCCGGGGTAAAACCAATCGATCAACCGACCGTCACGGTGCAGCTACCGGCAGCTTGAGGCACAGATCGGTAGTAACGACGTAGATCGTCGCTGATCAAGCAGGACCTCGATGTAATCACACTAGGTGAATCCGCGAAGAACGATGGATCGTTATCGATTTCGCTTGTTACCGTGAGCCACGAGATAAAGACGGCGACTAGATGTGGTAATTGATGACCGGGAGACTTTGCTTTGAATTGTACTTCAGGGGCTTCGTGCTCCATTCGGAGAGAGGGGGAGTTGATCACGCATATAGAAATCTGGTCAGCGGTAAGCGGATAGGACGGGGAAAACGAAGGAGCGAGTGCGGAGCATATTAACACTGAGGTTCGAGATTTGAGCCGAGGGGGTACAGGGGTGTCCTTGAACATCCGTTTAAGTCTCGGTCGGCCTTTAAGAACCAAGCGAAGGTCACAGGTGATTCCAGCCGGACGTGTGTGGGCGTAGTTACTGGCAGCTGATCATGGTTCGAGACTGCTTCCTGCCAAAGGCCAGGGAGATAAGATAGTCAAAATCAGTTACCCAATACATCCTGATTGTACATCATGTCCAAGATAATAATCAAGCTCACGATGTATAATGACCGGTTCCTGACGAAGGAAAGAGATGAAAACGCCATATACGTGGTATCAAGGCATCAGTCAGCATCGTACAAGATCGTGCCATGCATACAGCATGCAGACTGGCGGTATATATGCCAAGATCGTCCTGTGACCATATCTATGGCAGGACAAAGGCCATCCTGTGCTGCTGTATTAGATATACAAGATGGGATTGGCCAGGGCGGCTGTCCACCAATCCTGTTTAACACAATCAAACAAGTGCCATCCAATGATAAGCGCTCCATCCATGGCCAAAAGGGATTAAAACAAAGGCACAGATTTACTGCGACACGGCATGGTGTGATCAAAACGAGGGAAATTCGTGAATGCAACGAGGGAATGGCCTCAGGTCATGATGTGGCACTACAAGCTGTACACGCAGTGGTTTGCAGGGATATTAGTTCTACACAGAAGTAACCAGGGCAATCTCTTCCATTCCATGGATATGGGTAGTTACTGGCTAGTTTGAAGTTATCTGGATTGGGTTCATGTTCCGTGGGGGCCCTCTGCCCTCCACGCACACCATTGAGAGAAAAAGGGAACGACTTGCTGGTAGATGTACATGCGTGTGGATAAATTTGCCACCCGAGCTCACCTACGAAAACCCCCGTGAGGGGAGAATGGAGATATTTCTAGTCAAAAGATTGTCTATCCGAGGCCAATGCAGGGTATGCGGCCTTTGACGCCCATTTTAGCTCGTTTTGTGATATGTAGATAGCCAAAGAAAGCTCCGGTCAACCAAGAACAGAAGACGTACCAAATAGGCGGCTGGGGATGTGGTTGGGTGTAATTTGTCACAGAAAGATGGCAGCTGGCTGACACGAGGGCGGCGGCATGGTGTGGCAGCTCGCCAATATGGCTCAACGGGTCACAAAGTAATCTGTAGAACACATGCATTACGTGCTATAACGGGGGTCTACTGCGACGGCGGTTTGGCCTTGCGGGAATCACTGTTTATATGAACTATATCCAGTGAATTATAGTTAGGATACGCCGATATTAGAACGCAAGGATAGATGTGGCCTAGACGAGTCTCGTGGCATGAAGCCACGGTCCGATCCCCCTTTGTGGAAAGGCTCGAGGCCCAATGCTTGAAAGAATCATTATAATATATTGCAAGTACTGTCTCGGGTAGGATGATGATATAGATTACCGAGAGTATACTACAACAAAGGGAGCAAGCTTCCTATTGGAACATCCCACCGGTGAGATCGAAACGACGGACACTCACATGGGGAATGGTAGTGAGCGAAGGACCGAACCGAATAAATATTTATTTGGATGTGGGGGATTCATGCGATGGCTCGCAATGCTTGGAGTGATATGATTAGTTAGCTATGTCATTCGAGGATGGAGTTCACGTGGAGAATATCACGTTGTATGATGCGAGTAGATCGGGAGGAGCCGGGCAGGGTGAGTCAGCAGCCCAGTTGAGTCAGCTGCGGTACCTGCGGACGAGTCATGGCGTGTTCTCCCGGCTTGGTCGGCAAGTCGTGCCAACCTATTCTAAATAATAATTTTTAAACGGAAACTCGAGGCAAGAACGTGGAATGAGAGTAGTAAGAGGGTATTTCCTGATGAAGAGTAGATAAAGAAAAAGGATACTGGCGCAATCGCCGCATATCTGAGATTGGCCCAAAATGGATGACCTGCCATGGCGTCTCTTGGGCTCTATAATCGGATATTATTTCCTAATCAGGATAGGGAGGTGCACGATTACAGAGGATTACGCGGTTTGTCTTGGGTTGCCGGATTTCCAGCTCACCTTTGTCAGTTTGGGTGGTGGTGCGTATATAAACATGCTCCTGTCCTCCCATCATGTCCGTGTATTATCCTTCCCCCAACCTGTGCGATATCAAGTCCACAGCTTGAACTTGGATCTATACATCCCTTTCGACCCTTGAATTATTTTTCTTCGGTGACGGCCTCCCGTGCTTCTAATTTCCAGCCCGCCTTCCCTGCCCGCGAACTCAATCTGGCTATAGTCTGTCCGACCCGAATAACACAGCTCGCGCTATACATATAGCACACCTTTCCAAACACTTTTTCGCTTGTGCGGACATGCCCCGCATAATTACCAGCACAACTCAATTCGATCCAACATCAACCATGGCATCATATGACTCTGCATCCACATCACACAGCGTGTCATCTCCACCAATTGAAAGACACCGTCTCAGACGTAAACGCTCTCCATCCCCATCTTCACAACACTTCAGCGTAAATCCGTTTGCTGCACATCGCACATATTCCCCGTCAACCCGTGCTTCTGACATCGCACGCCTCCTTGACCCAACATACGCATCTCCGTCTCATCAAACAGCCTTCAAGGCACTAGGGTCACGAACTGCTATCAGGGAGGTCTATGTTGATCATCACGGTGACCTCCATGACCCTGATTTCCGGGACTTCCCCACTTTTGGCCACTCTAAACAGAGTTGGGAGCGGACATATCCAGACGAGAGTGATGCAGAGGAGGATGAGGAGATCTACCAGAGACGTGCGTCTATCGAGAAGCAACGGAAGCGGCCATCCACTACTGCTTACTACGCCTCCCCTGTTTACTACCCCTACGACGAGCCTTCGTCGTACGAGTCAAGAAATCTAGCTGAAGTTGAAGATGAAGACGAGCAGCTAGATCATCAAGAACGGGCACCTCTCAAGGAGAAGTGTTTCGTTACGCGATCAAAGTCTCCTGAGAAAAGTCCTCAGACTGAGAAGGAGACATATCCTGAGAACCTTCATATCGAGGTGCCCCAATCTCTTGCAGCTGACGGTGACTGGACGTGAGTTGTATTACCATTTGAATCGTTCTCAATATCTGACATCGTGCTTGCAGACCTACGTGTGGACATGCTATTCGCCGTCAGTGGCACGCCTTTACACTAAGCCTGCGCTTTACTCTATTCCGGACTAAGCGTAGGATTCAGCGGAGAATGTCCAGCTGAATGTGCCACCCCATTCCATGTCATCACAGCACTGCGCCAGCGAAATGTATATGCTTTCTTCCTTTTGAGCGCATGTCGCCGAGGGTCGCAACTTTGCATACCCCGATACCAGCGGGACACGTCGTGCATTGCACCTGTCCATGCGCACATATTCTTCTCCAACTCAACGTCGCATTTCCCAACTTCGCCTTTAAGCGGCGCTTTCTTGCAAGCACGACCCGACTCGCGCAACCTTCATATTCGCATTTCCATCCTTCGGCATTTTCTTATTTTCGCATCGTTTTCAATTTTGCTTTCGCACGCGCAATGGACATCTATGCAACAGTTATGCATTCACATTTCTATTCATTGTTAGGACTGGGTATCTATTCATCTAGTATCTATGTCCCCCGGAGGGACTTGCCGTAGGAGTGGCTGTAGGGATGGAGATCCGATAAGGGGAGCAGAGGAATCGAACTAGGACAGCAGGAAAGCGAAGAAGTTGCAATTAGTGCAACGAAGGAGTATCACCATACTATACGTAGTTTGGAAAGGAGAGGAGAACACAATTGAACGAGAATGAAATGACCACATCTTTGGAGTGCCAAATTGAGAAGTCCTCCGTCGGCTTAACCGGCACTTGCCATACTTCTGACAGTCCTCATGTTTCTCTTTTCGGCGCTCCTCTGCCGTCACGCTGCACACACTGAAGGTGATCTTGGGAAGAGTTGACCGCTACTAGCTGGGTTCCAGTAGACCTGCATCATCTCTCTCGATTGGACAGCTCTACAAATCTGCCGTTCTCTCATGGATGAGTGCCGTTGCTGCTTGTGGGACGTAAGGAGGGGCGCATGCAATCCTTCCAAGTTGCCCAATTCGTACGCGTCAAGGCGGTGATCCTTTTTTCTAGGCTTTCACCAGATTTGTCTATATTGGAACATCGTACGTGTGGCCATCCAATATCCATTCTGCACACCACGGGAATGTGAGACCCGATCCGATGTGGCGCAATGATTTAGATTGTATGGCATAAGATTCTGGTCTTATCGTTCCGTCAAGACAACGTCGCTTCATGAAGCGAAGCTTTTTTCTGCGCTAAACCAGACACGACTTGAATGGAAGCCTTGGAACGGTATGCTCGCCGACATGACGTGGGCAATCGGTCCTTTGACCCGACCTCGACTCCTTATCCAGCTCGAGTTGTATCAGAAAACGAACGTAAAACAAAGAGTCAGAAGGCGCGTGGTCTCTTGTTCCTATCACGACGCGTTCGTTCCGGCGGGATTGCATACTGATATCGTTTCGACTACCCCACACGCGTCGTGCCTGTGGGATAAACCCTCAAACGTTGTGCACTTGATTCCGGCTTGTGCTTCCGATTGTCCGTGATTTGCACACATTACCTCTCAGTTATCCAACTATCCACTGCTCATACGTGCGTACATTGTGTCATCGCTCCGACGCCTAGACCTTTAACAGCCTCTTGCACCCGTCAGCCCTCAACGTAACATCACCGCAGTAGCTTTGGCTATTCCAATTCATGCTGTCATTCTGCCTGATGCATGATCCTGTACTACCTGGTGGGATATCCAATCCTCAAACGTATTTGGATGGGTAAATCCAGGGTCGAGCCCGCACGCCCTCTGCAACGCGTTCGGTCTTTTGCATGATCAGTTATCTGCAGTTCAAACACTGCTGCGCATCCTATTTTATGTGGTAAGTGATACCTCTTTTCTGTATCCGGGTCATTCGCCAGATGCAGTCTGATCGGCGTCCATCAGTCCTCGCTCAAAAGGCGAGTTTCCAGCAGCGCCTCTGACTTCGCCGCAAGTTGTTTGCAGTTCATTCTCGCTTTTACTTCTAGTAAGCTCAAATCTGTTTCTCTGTAGCGAGCGCTTTCCGAGTCGGAACCTGATAAGATAACGCACGATCCTAAGATAATTCTCTTCGCTATCTATCCGAGAGATGCTGCTTCGTTCGTGCTTCATCTTCATTCGTTTCATATGGGATCCGCTCATCTGCTTAACCGAGCCGCGCCGCGGCGGCAATATCCAATGCCGTCCCTCATCGCCTTGGGACTCGAAACGGTAGTTGCATCTAGCGAGGAAGCGAAGAAGGCTTCTTGTTATGAGCACCTCAAGGTTTCAGTGAGGTGTGGAGCTTTCCCTGCTCAGCATCGGAATGCTGTGTTCTTGCATTGAATTTAGAGACTGGAGGCAACTTAATGAACCTGCTAGAGCGAAGTACTGAAGGGCCCCACTTACTTCCGCAACGGATTAGGCATCTATCGCATCATGGGCAGTACAGTTGGTTCGACACAAGGCTTTCCCTGGCAGGCTCATCAATATTTGTGCCACTCCGCCATATTGCTTGACTCTCATTGTCGAAGAAATGCATCAAATGGACGGTGTTGGCATCCTTTGTTTCACTCTTCACTATATCACATCTGACATCTTTTCCCCTCCTTTGTTCTGGATCGTCCATGCGACCTCGGTGAGTCTAATGACCTGCGCTTCTGCCCGCAATCTTATAGATTTCCCTTTGCCCAGCGATTATCTCTTGTGTCTTGAAGACGTTTGACTGTCTCCTATCTATTTCATTTCGCTAGATCCCGAATCAGTGTACCTTTGCATATGCCTATACCTATGATTTAAGCGGATCATCCTTTCCTTTCAGGTCTATCAAATTCGATCACACAAAACGTTGGCATCTCCTCCTGAGATACGACTGGGGGAGAGCTTCATTCAAGACAGACCAACAACGCATGCATCTCATTGAAGACTCATTCATTCAGTCCCACTCATCTCATTTCGATGAATAGCCAATCTTGTGCGATCGCGGGGTGACTCTCAACTCGAAGAAGTACTGTTCATTTATAATGAGTGGCTGAATGAACCCGCGGACATCGCGATAACTTCATGGCCCAGGCGCTCGACGAAGATAGACTTATGGGCCTATCTTTTTAATTTGGTGCATCCCATTCCATTCTCTGTCACGTTTCTTCCCGCGTTGCTTTCGCAGTACGTGAGACCCGTCGAGGTTGTGCTAGATTGGGATTGCCGCAGAGACGCCCGTCCGCGTGTTTACAAAGGGAAGATCAGAATCTGATCAGTAGTTTATAAAAAAAAGTTGCATATGTGGCACATTGTTTCGATCTTTTAATTTTTCAACGTTCTGCATACCAAGCCACGCTAGGCCATGCCAGTTCATGGTACGCAACGTCTACTTATAGGATGTGCTACTAGTTTCAAGCCAATGACAAGTTCCCAGACACGACCTTCTTTACACCGCCATACGATGGAAGAGCCATGGATCAAGCTTCAACTCGAACACTCACACTTGCATGCAACCCTAGTTAATGCCATATCGGCAAACAGTTGGCCTGGCTGAAAATTTGCCTTGCACATCAAAAGGGTCCTGCCAAGAAACACCCCAATGATGTGAGCGTGCTAGCGTTTTTTTTTTCTTTTTTCTTTCCCGTGAAGGTATGCTGATGCTATACGGCAGTCCCGTAATCCTACCGCGTGGACGACTACGAACCCGAAGAAGACTCGCGCTGTAATCACGCTGCGTGGCTTTTAACGTCCGCTACTATCTTTGATCCGTTTGTGGTAAGTACTAGACCCCGTAGGTGATGGGCTTGTTTGGATGCGTATGTGATAGCGTCCATATGGTCGGTGCTAGCACCGCGGTGATCAGCATCAAGGGATGGCTCACCGCGGACAGGAAGAAGTCATTTCTTTCCCTTTCACCCCCAAAAAACGTATACGTAGCTACCTCCTGGCGGACGAAGGTCAAAGGACAAAGGTCGGTGGCAAGCTTACAAATGTAAGTGGCACAGCGTCGCGTATTCAATGCAATGTCAATGCAATCATAGTGTGTCGTACCTTATTCGTCAAATCAGCCTCGATGCACGTGAGTGAATGACGTCTCCAAACTCACCACCTGGATAACCTCCAAAACCGGCATACTCGATACAAGCTGTGTCTATTACACCTTTTTACATTGGTCGGAACCCTTTTAAAAATTGACTGCAGCGATCAGAAAACGCGATTCTGATGCACTGTGTGGCGCAGGGTTCAGACTTACCAGCCCTGATCAGTATCACAGAAGCACAGCACGACCAACGGACGGCGTTATCTGTCAACTAGCGTTTTGCGGCGTTTTTCAAACATCTCGTATTCGTTGAGCAGCTGCGAGACAGAAGACGAGATAAGTCAATTATATTATGCGTAAGGAGAGCAGCAAAACATGGACACGGTAATAACCGCAATAAAATTCGTGTTGGATGGATTTTGTGGACCGAAAACGCTCTCAAGATCACATGGATTTCATCCATCTAGAGCTTCAATTGAACCTGATTGAAGACTTGTGGTCTGCAGAAGCTTGTGGGTGAATTATGTCGCGGGGAGTGACAGTGAGAACACCCGGTCATGATTGTGAAACCGCCGTGGAAGCAGAAATGCAGGCGACAGCTTCCAGTTCTCCATCACGCTGCCCAGGATTGCTGTTGTGAATCCCGATTCGGTGAAGGAAGATCAAATTTGAAGTATTCATCGGGCACCCAGCCACCATCATTACTTAGAACTCGCGCTAGAGGAACATCAACGATAGGCGTGGTGTATGCCTGCATGAACGGAGATCAATGGAGAGTGTACCACGAGCTGTAAAAGTTACGGGAGCGATGACAGAGGATACGATGGTGGGCGATGTCGGTGTGGGTCAAAACTGATAAAGTGTAAATATGAGCTGGAAACGGCAAATAATGATTTGACACTCACGTTCTCGATAGGAACTACATCTGAACGCAGTGATGAATCGTATCGAAGAGGAGCGGCTGGGCAGCAGGGGGATGTCGGGAGCTACAGGGCGATTGTCTAGTCGACCTGGAGAAGAAATAAGAGACAAAGAGCATAAATGGTAACACGAAGCTCATCATCACAAACAGGAAGATCATCTGTGCGGTAAAATGCAGGAAGGTAGTGAAGAAAAGCGGGTTACTGTGGGTCCATTGTAGGGGAAGGTGAGCATGACTAGAGGCGAAAATATCATAGGCGATATCGCTGGATTACGGCGGATGCAGTGCGAGGTGTCGGGGCAGACTGTATAATTGAGTAGATCCCGAACAAGCAAGGCGTGAGTTTCAGGCGCACTGTCTTGTAAGAGAATGTTAGCGCACAAAAGACACATCTATGGATACGCACACCGGGCTACGGCTTTTGTGCAGGCTAGATGCTAGCAAACTTGTGACATATTGCATATGTAGGTCTTTAGATCATATCCGGTCGAGAAGTCACTGCTTGCATGAGCCAGGTGAGAGTAGAGCAGGATGGGGATCTGAACATCAAACGAGGAGCGGAGCTGACGGGATTCGAAGTAGAGCATGATGGTGTTGTCGTGGCAATGTTGTAGGCTCCAGGAAGGATAGCACAGTCAAATTGAAAGTCCCCGGCCGATGGCGCTATCGACGTGCCCCTCGAACAGAGCTCTTGGACAGTCTCCAGCATCGACCATCCTGGCGCTTCCGTGCCTGAAGCTAAAGCTGGTTGAGGTGATCCGGTCTTTTGATTGTCCAGAACATTGCTGCGTACGTCTTCAACCCCCCGCGAGGTCCCCCACACCCCATAATAGCTTCCAAACACTCCGGAACCTTCCCCACACCTGACCTCATAGCGAGTCTGTTCGAGTCATATGAGAAAATACCGTCCCAAATAACTGGATGGACCAGGATCTATCCTGAGTCAAGATTCCATACACTCTGACAATTCCTCGCGGCCAGCAGCGGGATGCGCAGATCTGCGGAGAAGTCAATCATGAAGAGACTGCCCATAAAATGGTTTCGTGATCCCCTCGTGTCATCCTTGCAAGTCTTGAGCTCCCCGGACTGACCCTCCATTAGCAGTGACAACTCAGTACTCGCTGCCCACGTGCTTCTTTATTCTCCTGGTCCCATCGTCAAGCGTCACCCTGAGGGCCGAGATCCGCTAATCCTTAGCTGCCATTCCCGAAAGTAGGCCATGAGCGTTTGAACCGGATGAACCGAATGAATTCATTGTGATCCCGAAGGGTCTTCACTGGTGTCATTATCAATTTGGCAAGTACGGGCATGTTCATATTGAACGTGTTGGGAGGACCAGCGGTGAGCTCTCTTGGATTGCAGTAGGCCAGACATCGACAGAACCAGTGATTTCAAATAGATATCAGGGCTGCACCACGTTGTCTGCTGAAGCCGATCGTCAGCCTATTCATGTTGGTGCTCGAAATTTTTTAGTAGGCGGCCGGGCAGCAAGGAAGCGAAGATTTCAAATTTGTGGTGACTGCAGTCCCAGAGAGACCCCTTGAATCGTCCACCTAGCGACCATGAGATTCCTACGCGCACAACTTTCTCGTGTCTTCAGCCATACGGTGTTGCAGGAATAGCAGGCAATAGTACTTAGCATCCATGATCGACCTAGTATGCTCTGCACAAGTTTGCACATCCGAGTAGAGGAGTGATCCGGGCGGAGTGACGGTCATCCGGGCCGCTTCACTATTTAAATTAGATCAATATCCACCTCGACCAAACTTAGATAGTGAGGTATGTAGTCTCTACTTTGATAGAAGGAAGACAGTCGTTCCTTCTCAGAGGTGAGCCAGGTGCGCTTGACTACTGCAGCGCATGTAGTCGAAGATGGGACCTTCCCTCGATGGTTCTTAGACGAAGTGTCAGAAAATATATGCAGAGTCGGTATCTCTCGGGAAATATTACAGGGTTCCAAATCTCTACTAGAGTACGAGCCGACTTGGGGTTCATGCTTCTCAACAAACAGTGCCCGAGAGAACACTGTGGCGTGTATAGTCAAAAAACGGCTATGAGCTCGGCTGCTTCTGATGCGCATGTACTGTAGGTGTCGACTCGACGATAATGGGTACGGGGCTTGGAGGTGGCCCTCGTTCTGTAAATATATTGTGAGCTACAATAGAAGGGGGCTCGTCAGAGACAACTCTTTTACCCGAGGTATGAACCTTGGTCTTGTCTTGGAGGAGAGTAGTTGATCCACTGCGCATGATACGTGAAAGCTAACTGCAAAAGCCCGGGTCAGTACTTGGGACAAGAGACCATATCATTGAAGAAAAGTTCACCTGGGGGATTTCGATATGAGCTATGTAAGAAGATGTGGATACTCTTTGCTGTCTTTTTATGCATTCGAAGAAGGGTCAAGGCTATTAGAATCCCGTGCGATTGTAAGTAGCAAGCAGTAGTACCAGTTCGCGGTCTGAGATCAAGTGACTGTCCCGATAAGGCTTACCACCACAGCCTCGTTTCCACAATTTAGCATTGGCACAGGTTCGAGGTAACAAGGCTAGCAGTGACAGCGCTGCGCCGGAAATTTCTCACCAACCCACCCACAGCTTCGTCGAGTATATCTGATGGAAGGTTTCGTGGCAGTTTCGATTTATCCCTCATAAGGCTATCCACAAGATGCTGTATGGTATTCACTCACACGTGATCTCTTGAAAGATCCCTGAGCCGGTGAACAGTCCACACGCCCTCGCACTCCCAGGGTGCTCACTTTCAAGTTGGCAGCTGCCACAGATTTATCTCCCTGCAGGCCACTGTGGTGGACTAGTGGCATGCGCCTTCCTAGATCTGGCTACGCAGTGCAGCAGAAAATCTACGTGGACAAATGCATCACTCGCCCTTTGCAAGACGAAGTTTCCTTACACAGACTCATGCATATCGTTGGGGGGTCCAGCTTTCCTGTTTGTGTCATTTGCACACTGGGAATGGTAGTATACTTCTCTCACCTTCTGTGTCCCCTCCTGTAATCGGCCAAAATCACTGGATCGTCTGTCGTGTTTCCTAGATCTTGTTATCAGCATATAGTGGCGTTTCACTGGGACGTGACATCAAATGATCCAATTATGAACGCCGTCCTGTGGGGTTTGGACTCCTTTTGCAATTCGCTCAAAAGCAAGTGTGTGTAGGAAAGTGATGGTAAGGTTGTTGATGATGGGGTTGATCATTTAGTTACAAAGGAAGGCGACAACGACATGGTCCCATTGCTGGTTGAGCACCTTGCGGTCCTAACTTCAACGGGTGACACAATATAAGGCTAAAAGGGTGCGTAGTTCTTGTGTTGTCAATACTTGACGTATCGCATATTTATGTATGGGATAATTCTGAATTCATATCAGCCTGTAACATCTGCAATGTGAGGACGACACTGTCGGGTCTGGTGCATTCCTGATACATGGATACCTCGATACAGATATACAGATCTGTTGGCATGAGTCAGGTGAGAGCAGAGCAGGATGGAGATCTGAACATCACAAACGAGCCGGGGAGCTGACGGGACTCGAAGAGGAGCACGATAGTGTTGTCGTGGCAATGTTGTAGGCTCTAGCAAGGATGGCACAGTCAAACTGAAAGTCCCTGACCGATGGTGTTATTGGTGTACCCCTCGAACAGAGCTCTCGGACAGTCTCCAGCATCGACCCGTCGAATCCATCGATCATCCTGGCGCTATTGTGCCTGAAGCCGAAGCTGGTCAGGGTGGTCTGGTCGTTTGATTGTCCAGAACACTGTTGTATACGTCTCCAACTCACCGCGAGGTCCCCCACACCCCATAATAACTTCCGGACACTTCTGGGCCCTGTCCCACACCTGACTTCATAGCGAGTTTGTTCGAGTCATATGAGAAAATACCATCCCAAATAACCACTGTCGAATAGGCCACGATCTATCCTGTGTCGAGATTCCATATCTTCATACCATCTGGCGACTTGCTCGCGACCAGTAGCAGGTTGTTCGGATTTGAGGAGATGCCAATCATGAAGAGACTGCCCATAAAATGGTTTCGTGATCCCCCCGTATCATCCTTGCAAATCTTGAGCTCCCTGAACTGGACTCTCCATTAGCAGTGACATGTTGACAATTCAGTGCCAGTGCCTGCTCACGTGCTTCTTCATTCCCCTGCAAGGTCCCATCGCCAAGTGTTACCCTGAGGGCCGAGATCCGCTGATCATCAACTCCCGAAAGTAGGACGTGAACGTGTTCGAAGGACCGGCAGTGAGCTCTCTTAGATTGCAATAGGCTAAACATTGACAGTACTAGTGATTTCAAATAGGTATCAGGGCTGTACCACATTGCCTGCTGGAGCCAATCGTCAGCCTAACGGCTCTCGAAGTTTTGATTGACCAAACCTCAGTAGACGGCCGGGCAGCAATCGGAAGCGAAGATTTCAATTTTGTAACTGCAGCCTCAGTGAGACCCCTTCGTCCGCCTAGCGACTACGAGATTCATCGGCGCACAATTTTCTCGTGTCTCCAGCCGTGCGGTGTTGCAAGAATAGCAGGCAATAGTACTTAGCTTCCGTGATCGACCTAGTATGTTCTGCACAAGTTTTGCAAACCCGAGCAGAGGAGTGATCTGCTACGCATGTACCCTAGGTGTCAACTCGACGATAATGGGTACAAGGCTCGGATGTGTCCTTTGTTCTGTAAATGTGTTGTGAGCTACAATAGAAGGGGGCTCGTCAAAGACAATTCTTTTACCCGAGATATAAACCTCGGCCTTATCCTGGAAGAGAGTCGTGAACGATGTACCCGAAATCGATCAATTACGGTAGTTGATCGACTTCGGTTACAGTATTCATGATAAGTGTAGCCAAAAGCCCAATGGGGCTGCCTGGGGTTTTGGGTCAGCACTTGAGTGTCTGCAAGAAACCATATCGTCAAGGAGAAGCTCACAAGGAGGATTGCGATATGAGCTGGGTACGAAGATGCGGATACTATTTGCTGTCTTTTGATGCATTCGGAGAAGGGTCAAGGCTATTAAAATCTCGTGCAATCGTAAGCAGCAAGCAGAAGCACAGGGTACAGTACCAGTGCGCGGCAGACTGTCCCGATAAGGCTTATTACCACAGCCTCGTTTCTACAAGTTAGCATTGGCACAGGTTCTGGGATTTGGTGGGAAGGAGTTCGAGGTAACAAGGCTGGCAGTGACAGTGCTGTGCCGGAAATCTCTCGCCCCGAACCACCCCACCCACAGCTTTGCCCAGTGTATCTGATGGAAGGTTTCGTTGCAGTTCGATTTATGCTTCATAAAGCTATCCACAGGATGCTGCATGCTATTCACTCACACAACATGATCTCTTGAAAGGTCCCTGAACCCCAGGGTGCTCACTTTCAGGTTGGCAGCTGCCACAGATTTATCTTCCCGCAGGCCAGTGTGAACTAGTGGCGTGTACCTTCCTGGGTCTGGCTACGCGGACAACTCCATCACTCGCCCTTTGCAAGGCGAAGTCTATTTACACAGACTCATGTATGTCGTTGGGGGATCCAGCTTTCCTGTTCAAATACTTGTGTCATTCGCGCTGGGAATGGTGGTATACTTCTCTCACCTTTGGTGGCCCCTCCTGTAATCTCCAAAATCACAGGGCCGTCTGCCGTGTTTCCTAAATCTTGTTATCAGCACGTAGTGGCGTTTCACTAGGACGTGCGTCGATCATGTGACGTCTGGGTTGGACTCGTTTTGCATTTCGCTCAAAAGCCAATGTGGACAAGAAGTGATGAAAAGGCTGCTGTTGATGCGGTTGACAAACCAGTCGCAAAGGAAGACGACGACACGGACCCATTGCTGGTTGAGCACCTTGCAGTCCTAATTTCAATGGGTGACACAGCCTAAGGCCCAAAGGGTACCTAAGCCTTGTGTTGTTGACGTACCACATATTCATGTATGGGATAATTCTGAATTCATACCAGCCTGTCATCTGCAATGCGAAGATGATACTGTCGGGTTTGGTGCATTCCTGAGATACGTGGACACTTCGATGCAGATACACAGACACGGAAGTGCACTTGCAGTGGTTGGCAGTGGCTCGGGGCCAAGAGTCATTGGTTACCCCTGCAACGTACGATTGAAAAGCAGTCTGCAGATCTAGCTAAAGATGACGAGGAGAATAGCACCAAATTATGCAAAGCTCTGGCGGTACCGGTAATCACCGAATATAGGAAAATTTTCCTACGGATACGCAAGTCACCTCAGACCAGGTTTTTAACGCAGGCCAAGAGCTGCCACACAGCTCTCGGGGAGACTCGCTCACCAACTCTGCATACTACGACTAAGAAGGAGACGTGGTCTGGCGATGGCAAAGTCTTTCGCTCAGTACGCCTCACAATTTTTGACCCAGCAGCACAATCCAGCATCGAGTCTGTCCTCTTCGCAACCTTTATTCTTTTCATTCACAACCGACGAAGGGTCTCGTGCAGGTGATGATCATGATACAGTCGTTGACGACGTTGACGACCCTCATCTGCGTGCGAGCAGACTGTCAAGTCGTGGAAATTTCAGGAGTCAAGCACATGATATAGATGATGAAGACCCATATCTGCGCCTCGACGAAGGGGATGACCTTCCAGGGGCCTCTCATCATGCTTCTCAGTCAATTCCCTTGATAGCATCTGACTATGGCCAAGCTGAGTCCCAAGATTATCCCAAAGGCTGGCTTGCCCACCAAGCGTCTCCTCCTCGAAGAATTCGCTCACCTTCACCGTCCCTTTCATCCTCATCTCTTGGCTCACCCGGCCCTACAATCGAGTCACCGAGACTCATGCCTAATCGCTCTGCTAGACCACAGCCACCTCCGCCTCCACCTTCACGTGCTCGTGAGCCAGTTTCCTTATCTCTGACCGAGTCACTGTTGCCGAGGGATGGCACCACACGCCCCATCGACGTATTTTCCTTGCCAGATCCGCGGCATATCACTCGAAGTCGACGAAAGTTTAATGACTCGCACTGGACCATATTTTGGTGTACAGGTGTTTCTGTATGCGTCTTTTTTTCCATTCTACTACTATTCTTCTCTGGCAAGACTCGCAAGGACGACGGACGGAGGGTTTCGCTCCCATACACAACGCTGCTGCATACAGTACCCCTGCTTACCATATTGACATTTCTGAGCGCTCTTGTGGCATATGCCCATGTTTTCCTCCTGCGCATATTTGTTCGCCCAGTTATGATCGCAACATCAGTATTCATACCAGCTACACTTTTTATCTCTGCTATTTGGGCATTCGTTGGTAGTTTCATGTGGGATGGAGACCAAGAGCCAACTTGGGGTGAGACAGTTGGGTGAGCACCCTTTCTGGTTGTTTTAGCCGCGGAAGCTCATCACGGTGTCCAGTCTTCGACTATTCTCACTTGTACCCCTCGTTCTCTCCGTCATCACTGCCAGACGCCTAGTGAATTTACCCCGAGAAATTCATTCAACCTCCTCTATCCTTGACCTTACCACACGGCTTCTCATTGCAAATCCTTTCCTTCTCGCTCTCTCTCCCGTGATGCTTCTCGCCATGCTGGTTGCATCTATACCATTCATTACCCTGATCTTCCGACTCCTTTTGATTGGTTATGTCCTTGAACCCAATGGGACATTAGAAGGGCATGTCCAAGGATGGGCGAACTGGGCGATATTTGGTGCGGTCGGCGTATGGCTTTGGAGCTGGGGCATTGCAAAGGGGATGTTGCGTACTACTTGTGCGGGTGTTATTGGCGCTTGGTACTTTGCCGAGTAAGCGTCATTTTTTTCCTTAGTTCTTATCTCATTTACTCATGACCTCAGCCCTGACGTTTCAATCCCACTGCCAAGCGATACTCACATTATTCATGCTGCTCTCATGCGGGCTGCATATCCATCTCTCGGATCGATTGTCCTCAGCGCGCTCATCCTCACGGGTATCCGATTGCTAGGGCTCCTCACCCTGGCCCTGCGCTGGCTTCCGCTCTATCTACCGCTTGCACTGCGTCCATGGTGTCGGCCTATAATATTTGGTTCAGGCATGGCTGTCTCTTATCTAGAGAGCGTTACAACATCCTTGAGTAAGTATGCGCTCGTATATACTGGGTTGACTGGAGACCCCTTCTTTGTGAGCGCAAGGAGAGCCCAGGCTCTCACTGCCTCCGTCGAGACTACTAGCGCAGGTCGGTACCGCAAGAAATTCAAGACTGAACGTGCGTATCGTCTTTGGGGTCCGCACAATCGTAGCTGACATGCCATTCAGCACCATTACGGATACTTACCTACGCACCATTAACGCTGACATTCCCCTTCGCACTTATGACGTATCTTTTTGTCGCACACACATTGAGCGCACCTGACTATGCGTTGGGAGCCTCGTTACTTGCTGGTGGTGTCACCGCACTCGTGGGCTTGTTTTGCGTAGGACTAGTCAAGGATGTGTATGTTTCGATCAACAGTACAACGTTCTCATGCTAATCATTGCCACACTAGTGCTGATACGCTGTATCTGTGCTACTGCATCGACAAGGATGTGGGCGAGAGACATAGGGAGGAAGTATTTGTTGCTGTGAGTGTATTTTGGATCGGCTTTAGAACACTGCTTAGAACCGCACTCAGCTCGAATACGAGATACAACCTCGGACCGCAGCTCGACCACAACCTCAGACTGCGGTTTCACCGCAACCGCAGGCTCAGCCGCGCTCGTCGTTATCAGGTCGGCCTGAACAGGCATCTCCGACTCGGGCAAAGCGTCCAACAGCCATCTCTCCTCCACGATCCAACCCACCGCGCGTACCTCAACAATATACTCCTCCCTCCCCGAAACCTGTTCCACGTACCATTCAACCTGTCCAGCCGATACAGCCAACCATCCCAGATGCAGACATTGATCCTTTCGAACACGAACCTATGGGGTTTGATGCACCTGCAGCGCAACTCTACGGGTACGATCTCTCCCCCGAGCCTCGTCGCGCGTCAGTGGACGACGACGAGAGCCTTGATGAAGACGACGAGCACGGCGAAGAGTCGCAGCTTTTCCCAGGTTCAGGGCTTTTCTGAAACAAGTAGAACAGGGCAATCGAACTTGTTTATAATTACACTAATCTGCGATGATGGTGACATCTTATGATAGATTAATCGCATCATGCTGTCCATTTGCACGTCTTGTTTTTGTATTTAATGCATATTCATCTACATATTCGTGTTCTTGACCTGATATCGATGTAGATTGAGAAGATTCACTATGAAGTACCGGGTTCGAAGGAGCTATATGGCCTAGTTGGTAGGATTGTCTTCGTTTCATATTCCTCCGACCAGGGAGTCCTCTTGAGCGTCTATACATAAGTTGTTCATAGGTGAGATGCAGCAACCCACGTATAAGCGTACTTGTACTGCTGCTTCTGCCAGATTGGCGCTCCGATGTCTCCGACACATCGTGACGCAGTTCCGAGTCATTAGCACTGATTATTTCAAAGCAACATCAACAACATCAAGCTTCGACGGTTCTGAACGGTTCTATCAGATAGCGCCTGACTCACGGTTCGCTGCACCGACCAAGAAATGTCAGTAAATCAATTCAAGGGTCCCTATGACCCTTCTATTATGGCAGAGTCCTATGCACAATGGGAACAGTCGCTCGAAATCGAAATCCAACGGACTTTTGATACTGTCAACCGAGATATCCTGGATGGTTATATGGCTAGAGACCTTGCCAGGCTCAAAGATCCTCAGGTGGACCCAGATTTCCTTTGTACATGGACTGTACGTAGTATCTGTGTCACAACCATTTGAACGTAATTCCAACTGCTGGTTATTTTAGGGCCTCCTATGGGACAGGACCACATTGTCAAGGACTGGAATCGAAGCACAACGAGTACCCACCGGTTTCAACTTCCTGATCAAGACCTGCTTAAAGTACAACCTGGTCGAAGTCATGATATTGATTACGTCGAGATATGGCACGTTTAGGCTCGGCATGAAAAATGGACATGCTCTAGCCAGTTATTGTGGACTCGCAGTGCTGGTGGACCTCTTGCACGTAGGGACAGATGCGGAAAGAAAATCGATTGCTGAGGAAATGATGGATCACAACATTGTAGACCTCTGCTTCAAGGTGAGAGGGCACATGCGATGACGTTTGGACGAAATCTGAATGATATAATATAGAACATAGATAGCTGGCTCTGCGCGCACCGCAGACTTGCTGCTAGCACCATTCGCTCTTTGGCTGGTCTGATTGGGGACAGGATTCCTGCGGATATGGTAGCTGATATTATTGCGAAGCTCTGTGTCTTTGTGTTGCAAGGGCCCCGAATTTTTGTCGAACAGTTCTATGCTCCAGAGACAAAATGGCAAGGTGGAATAATTGTTTTAAGAGGGCAAAATGTGGGTCTTTAGCTGCAGACGTATCCATGAGACTAACTTTATTTCTTCCTCATCTGTTTCAAAGGCTTCTGAAGCAGAGGTGGCTAAATGTGCTCTGCGATACTCAGGACTGGCTCATGACGATGCTCTGTGGGCTGCTCAAGGTCTTGTTTGTACCTATCCCATGCTCCCCACGAAGTTTCGCCTTGAAATTCTCAAGAAGAGACCGGAAATTGTCGACTTGCTGTTTGACTGTGCGATCACGCCTCGACCAGCATGGTACCCTGAGCGGCAAAGTGATGCAGTTGCATGCGAAATCCTTGCACTTCTATTCCAATGGCCCCCTTACATAGTACCTGGTGTGTCTTCGCCGTTGGATGGCTCATCGAGAACCCAGGAATGGAAAGCTTTGTCTCAAGCCCTAAAGATGTTGACCGCAAGAAAAGAATGGAGCGAGAAGCTAATTGAAGTGTGGATGAGCGTCGAAGAAGAGGATTGGCACCATGTCGAGTCGTCAGTTTCTACTGTTGATTGCACTTTTGTTTTTAACCCTTTTGATCTCAGGCTGTTCAACAATGTCAAAAATTATGGAGCAAAAACTCTCCTTGGGAAAAGGACGTTTCAACTTGCATTTGAACTACGAGGTATGGTAACTGGGGTCAGAAGATGCTTCATCGCTGAGTTTGTATCTGTTTCGTTCAGGCATTAAACGGATAACAGTCTTGCGGTTGATTACTACGTTGACTCATGCAGCAGACTCATGTGGCATTACCAACGCAGAGTTGGAGTCTCTCCTTCGTGTGGCCTACGCTGCATCGCAGAAAATAAAGCAAGCAGATTCGGAAAACGAAGAGGACCATCTGATGTATGCGGAGCGAACACAGGATATGTTCGCACTGCAACTTAGCGACTCACATGCAGCTCCCCAGGTAGATTCTCCATTACAGATAGCAGAGGAAGTTGTTATTGGCCCTACATCACTCGCGCGATTGTTGGCTGTGCTGGCTCAACGGGGCATTCTCGACTCAATCCAAGCTCTTAAGAAGGCACCGAATGGTCTCTCAACCGCAACTTCCCTGGATCAAGTACAAATGATTACACATCCCGAAATCATACGGAAGTTCCTGCTAATCGCTTTCCGGCGCGTGGAGTCCCGCACAGAGTTTGGACGGAAGGTTACTCAATCAAACCCGTATTACGCTCGGATGCATTTTGTGTCCTCTGCAGAGCTTGCATCCGCCTTGGTCTCGTTTGACAGGTATACGCGCGGAAAATATGCCGAGGAGGTCAAGGGTGTTCGAAAGCAGCTTGTCGTGGCACTTGGGAATGCGTCAGAGATGGCTATCCGCACCGGACAAAGTCAGATCGCCTTGAGCTTTGCACTCGGTGCGATAACAAGCGCAGAAAATATCCCCGAGACAGAAGGTCTTGATGAAGCGATACTTGCCAAGAACACACGACGAGCTGATCAAGCAAGAGCGGCACTTCGCCAAGGGTAGTTCTCCTCGCAGCTTGTCAAGGCTCTTCAATTCCACTCCGCTCTAAACGCCGAGCGAGGCTTCGCATTTGTACAGGACCTATTTCTCTGATGAAGTACTACTAAGGTGCAGTGGTCCCGAAGTTTTTCTGGAGGGGTCCAGACGTGTGCCAGTCCAGATTGGCGTTGGAAGGTTTGGTGGAACCATTTCAAGTAGTGGATGATTGACAGTACCTATGTTGAGCTATAGGGTCCAGTGAAAATCGACGAGAATAAGGTAGATACGTGCACAGATAGGCGTCTATAGGTACAAAATGAGGTAGATAAAGATCTAAGGTCGGTTCCAATAGAGCCGAATTTTGATTTAGCTGTGTAACTCGCCGAGCGTTGTTCCTGCTCATTTTGTACCCCTTTGGTCGCTTTGAATTCTGAGATCTACAATACTACGTTGATCTGTTGTCACCACCACTCATCATGGCTTCTGCGTGAGCATAAGCCGTTATCTTGAAGTGTCTTTATCAAATTGACTTCTAGCTCGTCCTCTGTACAATCTATTGGAGCTATGGCACCTCTTGGTACAATCTTGACACACCTGCGGCTCTTGCAATAAGTATCTGAGTATAAGAATTTCCCGTTCGACTGTATCACCAATGGCCATGCGTTTGCCCTATCGAAAGCAGCCATGCCTACCACTGGAGCAGGTCGCAGGTGAGCGTCGGACCATTTGTTGGCCCGCCGTCCAAAGAACTTTTGCGTGTACCGTTAATTTCTCTACACACTTGTGGCACTTATTGCACTGAAACCTACTGCTGGCGCTTTGCGAGTGGTCGCGACCTGTTAACTTGACTACGCCCTGAATTCGGTTTAGAGAAATTTCAACAAGTTTGAAAAGTAACGTTCCGAGTTTCGTTCACCAGAAGGTAAGTGACATAAAGTAAGATAAACCTAAGCTCTAGACTTGTGGAATGCCAGCGTACTGTCCAGAGCGCGATTGTTGGGGAAAGACGGGTGAGGGCATCGACGGGTTTAGGTTTGTGTTGCTAGATGAGGCGATTGGGCCAGTGAGGGGGTGAAGACGACCTGGGAAAGTAGTCGGGTCAGAGGGGTCCTGTGTGAGGGGATGAGACGAGCTGATGTATCGTAAAATCATAAGAAACATACGTAGAGACGTGATTGCTCCGCCATTGGGAATGTAGTAGCGTTGGTGGAGTAAAAACCTTGAGTCTGGCCCGGACCTCCGCCTATGTCATTGAAAGCGGCTGATGGCGTCGTGGAGGAGCGACGGCGTTTGAAAAAGTACCATGTCGCAAGGCCAATGATGGCTGCAGCTCCCGCAATTCCACCAACAACACCCCCAGCTATAGCTCCAACATTGGAACTTGTCGAATCAGATGCTGATGTTGAAGATCCTGTGGCTGCGCCCGAAGAACTGGTGAAAGTAGACACGCTGGTCAAAGAAGTAGACACGCCAGTCAATGATGTTGAAGATCCTGTGGCTGCGCCCGAAGAACTGGTGAAAGTAGACACGCCAGTCAAGGAAGCAGACAAGGTGGTCGAATAAGTGACTGTGATAGTAGGTACATTGGTTGCGGTAGATTCCGGGAGGTCTACAAGAAGGTGAGTGAAAGTGCTTCTGCGACGGAAAAGTTATGCCCGAATGCTAACCTCCGTTGCTTTGCGCTGCGACGGGGTCGAACCCACCGGTCACCTTCAGAGAATTAGATTATAACAATTGTGATAAGTAATCGTGCACTGACGTTCAAATATGCCCAATTCGGAACCTTGGTGCCAGTGGGAATGTCATTCGGATATCTATCAATCAGGTGTATTAGAAAAGCTTGCAGAATATCAACAACCTTGCGGACTAACCCTCGGATGGATATCTTGGAGCAACTGGAGCTCCAGGAAGACCAGCTGATAGGAGATAAGCGCCTCGTGAAGTCGAGCTCGATACGACTTGAATACGACTCACTCCAGATATGTGGCATTCTGGCAGTCAGCGCAAGCGCTAACCATCGAGTAGGTTACTGTATTACATACGCAAGTGTTTGCTGAAGCGGCCGAGGGAGGTGCGTAGTAGTAACCGGAAGGTAAAGGAGCGAAGTTGATAGCTACACCAAAACTAGTTAGGTAAGGCTATTAAGGCATACTGAAACAAGGCGTACCTCCACAGACGCTCTCGAGGTAGGAAGCAACGACGCAAGGATTTTGCTTGAGACTGTTGTCCATCTGTAGATCATGAATCAGAATCTATATCTTGAAGCCTAAATAAAATAAAATAAAAACATATCATTACCCAACTAAAGGAGGATAGGCATGTCACAGTGGACGTCTGCGCAAAGGCACCTCTTGGTGCAAGTGCTGCTGCTGCCAAGACCACTACCAACGACCATGCTTTGGCTTGAGATGGCGGCATCATGGATAGAAAGAACAAAGATGGGGAAGGCGAAATGGACAGAAGCCCTCAAATTATAGAACTTTGTTCTAGCAGTTTAACGCGATGCTGTGGCGGCCGTCACCTAGATCGAGTGATGAGTGCCCTGTTACTATTCCGAAATAAATCAGATCCTTCCGCACACAAGGTACATGCAAGCACCTGTCCCTGTAGATGTGATATATCTACAATTATAGACAGGGTAGAGCACAGGTACGGGTAAAACCGCGGTGTATCGCTGACAGGTGTGGCGGGTACGGGTACGGCGTGGATTATGGAGACCCTGGCGTACACCATGCTTACCTGTGGCGGTTTGCAGTGTTGGACGGGTGTAGAGCCCTCAGCTTGTCCGAGGGTGCGAGGGTCAACTTCTCAAGAACCTCCCGAGCCAGAGCTGTCACCATGTCACTCGTTCCCAAAACATCAAATCTACATCCACTCGTACTTTCGAAGCTTCAACCGCAGGTTTATCGAGTAGCAATGTCGATTCGGAGTGACAATCGACTGCACTAGTTATGCTGATGTTCCAGTGGATTATGCGCTGCTTAAAGAAGGCTGACGAGTCTTCCATCCAATCATACTTGTCAAAATTGTCTTCGATAAGCTTCGATATCGCCGTCATCGTTGCCCGAACTACCAATAATTGGTGCCAATGCCATTGACACGGCGACGAAGTCTGACAACGAAGAGGACCTGGATGCGGAACTTCGTAAGACTTCTGCTGATACTACTATACTATGTCAGTGCCTTACCAACTCAGGAAGAATTAGCGTTCACCTGTCTATGGATTTTTGATACCGATCATGTTGCTGTTCAGAACGTGAATGGTCATGTCTGCCACTTCTTCCCCTGCACAGCCCAAAAATGTAGATGAGAATCGGAGGCGTTCGCCCGGCGCCGTCTCCAGGACTCGAAAATACTATGCGACCCGCAGGCCTGCGAAAAAATCGCAGTATACCGCAAATACCGTTCATACCCGTAGGATTTGCGGGTGTTGTGTGTGCAGGTACAGGTGCGGTGTGACTCCAGCGACCCGCGGGTCCACTCGTGCTCAACCCTAATTATAGAGAGTGTGTAGTGCACTGTTATCATTCCGAAGTAGATCAGTTCCAAACAGGGTGTCCCGGGAACATAAGTTCCTGACTGTCCCTGAACGCATCAATTACCTTGCGGAGCAAGGTCATGTCACTGCAGCGGAAGCAACCTCTTTGACCTTGTGAGGGGCACGATAAAGGCATGACAATCATGATGTTGGTGGGCAACAGCTAGTCGTCAGTGAATCGGTGAACAGATGAGAAGATTATTTAAGGCAATATAATGTAAAGCATCGCAATAATCTTCATGTATCTGCTGACCGCCTTGACACGGGAATATTTAGCATTGTCGAGGAAAGTCAATGATACTGGATGAGTTTATCTCTGAATTGGAGCGGCCTAACATTCGGAAAGCGGTTATGATAGTGCGTGGCATCCAATTTGTGTTTTGCGCACTACTCATGGAGTTTTAGCGACTTGTCGTCACATAAAATAGGTGACCTTACATCCTCGATTCTCGACTTCCAGGCCAAATGATATCATGCGCGTAACATACCGTAAGAAATCAACGCTTATCGAGCCCGAAGTCGAGCCCCTTCATGAGCCTCCTTTTGAATATATATGGAATTATAGCAAGGTTCAGGATAAGCGGGTATGATAATGATTGAAGTGGCGGAAGCTTGGATTTTCAAGTGAGAATTTGGCGCACGAGTTTCAAGAAGTGGGGGAGCTTGGGGTTAACGTTGACAACGTTGATTGTTTGGTGAGCACCGTTGTTTTCGCTGTATGGTCTCTCGACCGATTGTGTCGCAGCGTCACGTAATTTTGTTGCAACGAAGATCCATTCTCAAAAAGTGCGCTTTCTTTACTCTCACTCCTCATCACAAATACCAACATCAATATCGTCAGCAAGTTATATTGGAGCAGTTGAGCTGTCCGGTAGGTCTCGAGCCTGGAAAGTAGTATATATTTGTTAAAGAGATGGACTCTTGAACGGGCTATTTGGTACTCATAGAAATCCAAATTTTTCAGTGTGTTCAAGTTGCCAATGTGTCTGGAAAGGCCTTGACAAGCTTTGAAAAGCTTACAAAAACAAAGAACGGAAATAGTTGGTAACTTTGAGGAGTGCGCTACCATGCTTTGCATATTGCGATGACGCCGTGTCACGACTTTGTGGTGAACTTGAATGGCATTACCAAGGAATCATTGCAATAGTAGTTTACGTTGTGATAGTCGCGTTTACATCGCTGTGACAAATATGTCACGATACAATGTCCTTTCTTACACTCGCTCGGTCGTCCATTCGGCAAGCGTTCTCTCCATGTCTTGCCCGCGGCTATGCCGCCAAGAGCTCGAATCCAGAACGGATACCGAACATAAGTACAAAAGACACGTCGGCTACTGAAGGTGAGCATACAGAGTTATAAATCACGGTACTTCATGCTGACAATTATACCAGAAAAAACGCTTTCGTCGTGTCCACCAGGTACAATCCTGGAAGGATTGAACTATCTAAAAGGACAACCTCCGGTGATAGCTCTCCCTGATGAGGAGTATCCTTCGTGGCTGTGGGACCTTCTGAAGCCGAAAGTATATGAAGATGACGGGCCTGGAGGCAAGGCGGAGAAGAAACGGCTCAGAAAGGAGAACCAACAACGGATCAAGGACCAGAACTTCATGAAGACACAGTAGGACTCTAGTGTGAGTAATTTTGTTGTTCATCCTTTACGCTCTCACAAATGTTTCCAAAGTACTAGAATGTTTCAGTAAGTATCCCAATGTGATGAACATGTCGGTCTTGTCGACAGCGTAAAACAACGGACTACCGCCGTAAAACTACCTATATATTTTCTCTGTTATCTTGGCTTTGATTCATGCGAGGATTAACATTCGAACGTGCCCGTGTCTGACGCGTCTGAAAATCGCCAAGTCCCTTCGCGTATATCCACTGCCATATCAGATAGTACTGTCCCGGACCCTTCATACGACGACGACGCTGGATACGAGCACGATGCTAGACGAACAACGTATTGCATGCGATTGTGCTCAATGCTCGCACCATAAAGATGGATCCATGTATCGGACCTGGCAGGTCATTGCGAACACCTCAAGAAACACGGTCCTGGACTGAAAGCTCGAGGGTATAACATCGTTATGGCCTGCATTTGACTATGAACACGGGCTGTTAGGCTTTGTTATGCGCATATACCCTGCTAATACATGATTCAGAAGGGTGGGGATACTCGAAAATCAGCCGCACACCACTGGAGCAATGTACTATGCGATCGACGACCTTCCACGGGAGGAGCGCTTCCTTCAAATCAATGACATTGCAAAGTGAGTCAACCCTTGGGACTCGGCACACTCCAATTCAGTACTTACTTGGTTGCTAACCCAAACCCAGGGTCGAAAGACATATCTACCAGTGAGCACCCCCTCAGCGTTCTTTCATCCTCATCTTCTGGCATGAGTTACGGTACCAGATCAGTCTTGTAGGCTTCCGTCTTGAATACTGACTCGTGTGGCAAGGTGTTGAATTTTCACTCACTCACCTCGCATTTCTATTGATGTGTTAGTTGGTTTCAGATACAAAGACAGACACTACAAACGCCCGTTGCCGGCTCTGATGCATCCCCTTCAAGTTCGTCAGCTTCGCGTCTCTCACTACCGGGGCACTTTCGGCAGCTGTTGTCGTGGCGCGAGACGCAGTCAGCTTTGCAGAACGAAGGCTCTTCTGCAAGTCTTCATCACTGATCGCGTGCAGTGCTTTTGTAGCAGCAGGACTGTACTCGACACCCTTGGCACGAATATACCTGAAAAGTCTGAATGGTGCGGCTGTTGTCTTGGGGCGTTCAATGTATCATTTTCAAGCTCCAGAACACTTAACAGAGCGGGCTGTGAGGGCTGTCACGGCAGACAGCCAACACTGACGGACGATCAGCTTGTCGTTGAGCAACAGTTTTGGGAAGCACCCGTCCTGTACCCAAGTTGATCGGGTATGGGCGAACTGTGGGTTTTGACCGGGGCTTTAATCGATTCCCTGATGCGGCAACTGTGACCTGTCTAGACTATCATAATGAGAGGTCAACTCCAATCTACCAAATGTCACCTATCACAATGTATTCATGGCTAGCGATTCAATCCTGAATGAACTTTGTAAATCAATGTCCTTCCAATAAGTACAACTGTCAACCGCTACCCTAACAAGTGCGAGGTTTCCTGATGCGCTTTTGCCCGATTAACCGGCCTCAGCCTTCGTTAACGTTCCAGTGTTAGTCCAGCCAATGGATAAGGGGCGCTTCCAAAAGCACGTTCATCATTTATTCAAATAATCCTCATTGCAGACATGTAGCAGACGCCCGTCTATCTTTCGTGCCACGGGCCACCACGTTACTCCATCGATTTACCCCAAGAAACCTGTCAACACCTACACTCAACTATCCTTTCCACTTACTTGATGAATGAAAACAATCCTCCTCGAAAAAAGCGTGGGGGGTGGTTGAAGCCAAGTCAGTCAGACCCTCGTGTGATACAGGAGAGAGGCAGGAGGGTAGTCAGTCACGATGTACGAACTTTCGTCTTCGCAACTACGCGTTCTTTCTAATGATTATAGCTGCCCTCTCTCTCGCCTTCGAGGAATGGGTCTAGTGGACGACCACAGGGATCAGTTCGCAAGCTCTTCAGTAAGATAACCAAGCGCTTCGCTCGAAGCGCTCGACAGCCCCCCGATCCTGAATCCACGGCTGCAAGTTCCAGCCCACAGGACATCCAACCCATTCAGTCAACCAAGGTATGTGCGATCTCAACCCTGAGCGTGTCTCGTGCACCATGTTTGCTACTCATCACTTCTGCAGGATCTCACCACTCCAACTCTCGAACCAAATCCTGAGCAGTCTCCCAATCCAGGGATTGCAGAAGTAAGTTCGACCAATGTGGTTTACAATATTCTTATCCGTCTCTCGATGATATGCTAACGTTTATAATCAGGCTGAATATCTCGACCCCAAGTTTATGAACGAAAGAATCGCGAATGTTACAAGAGGTTTGGCAGGCATCGGCCCGATCCCAACAATAGTTCAAAATGCTTCTTCAGAGATCAACAACCCACCATCTGTTTCTGATACAATCGCCACATTTTCCGCGCTTCTTAAACCCTTGAAGGCGTTTAACTCCGTTGCCAACGAGATTGCAAATGTACATCCATCAATGTCTCTTCTGTACGCGACTGACATTCATACACAGGTCCATCCCTACGCGAAGGCGGCACTAAGTATCTTCACTTGCGCGTCCAAGGTAGGCTGCTTTCTTAATCATCGCCGTCGCAGGTTCACGAAGTTTCGATGACAGATGATTCTCAATCAGGCAGACTGTGATGTCGCTGTTTCTAGTCTGCTCTCAGAGATATCCGAAGTTTATACCTTCATCACGGAAGAGGAGGAATTGAGCAAGATTCAATCCATGCTAGCGATATATGGGAAGATGGCGCAACAGACCCTGGAGTGCGCTGATTTCATCAGCCACTACTCCGAGACGAAGAGCGCCTGTGAGTTTATCCCACCGCATCGTCCTCTGAGACTCAATGTTGCCTGTTCAATATAGGGATAAGACTTGGCAAGCACATCTTCGACGAAACGGACACAACAATTCAGAGCTACAACAATGTTCTCGACGGTCTCATGCAGCAATTCCGAGACCGAGCGGCTCTTGACACCGTTGTGGTCGTCCACCATATGGGTAAGAGTCCCTTCAGGTCTCCCAAACCTTATCTAACATTTCATGACCCCCTGCATAGCTGAGAGCCTGGACCTCTTCGGCATGGAATGCGCAAAAGGTGCCGGATTGGATGTGTCTAAATGTTGTTTGCCCAACACTCGGCAAGACCTTCTGAAGGACATTCAGGATTGGATCAGCAGCACCGAGGAGGGTGCTCCACGCGTCTTTTGGTTGTCTGGCACAGCAGGCAAGGGTAAATCAGCTGTTGCTCATACAATAGCCAACTGGCACATCGAAAATGGTGGTCTTGGCTCATGCTTCTGCTTTGATCGTACTCGGCAAGCGGATCGTCAGGACAAAATATTCACCACTATCGCAAGCGACTTGGCGGACTGCAACCCTATCGTGCGACGAGCCTTGGCGCAAGCAGTTCGTAATCACGGCGGACTCAAGCGCGCTCGAAATATCACAAAACAGTGGCAGGAACTCATCGTCGGACCGACAAGCATAGCCTCAAAAGCCATCGCTGCACCCGTTCTGATTGTCATCGAAGCGTTGGACGAGAGCGGCGAAGCTAATTTTCGGGAACAGATTCTTTGTCTGCTCGCTGGCAAACCAAACACCTTCACCTCACAACTATCTGAACTCCCAGCCAACTTCCGCATTCTCCTCACTTCCCGTCCACTCGACGACATTCACAAGGCTCTGCATGCCGCGCCGCATGTTCGCCATGTTTCGATGGATGATGTCTCGTCTGCATCCACAGAGCTCGACATTCAGCTTTATATCTCCCATAAGCTGGAAGACCTGCGTCACGTCTTCAATGATGCGCACTTCAGGGCGCTCGCTCTGAAATCGGATGGCCTGTTTGAATGGGCTCGTCTCGCCTCTGAACATATCAAGAGCACGAACTTCGTGAGCCGCGGCCCGATGCGCCGTTTTCTTAACATCTGTGAAACATCTGCCAGAGGCGTACACTTGTTGGATCAGATGTACCAGCGCATCTTGGGAGATATCATGCCAAAGCACATGCAGGAGGAGGCGATCCCTATCTTTCGGTCTGTGATGGGTCAAATTCTTGCATCGTCGGAACCACTTTCCATCACTGTATTGAACGCGATGCGGCAGTGTTTCCCATGTGATGATGATCGCTACGACGTGAACTTGGTCATGGGACATCTTGGCTCGCTTGTCTCTGGCACCTCGGATTCTCGTACTCCCATACGTCCCCTTCATGCGTCATTCTACGACTTCCTCACAGACAGATCGCGGAGCCTTGACTTCTTCGTTGATGCATCAGCGGTACAGAGAGATCTTGCGTTCGCAACGCTTCAGGTCATGGAGGGTGGACTTTGCTTCAATATCTGCTCCTTGGAGAGTTCTTACTTACCCAATTCTGTCATCCCTAATTTTGCAGAACAAGTGAAGAAATCCATTTCGGCGGAACTATCATACTCATGTCGCTTCTGGGGGAGTCATGCGGCAGCCTTGTCCTTCGAATCATCGCTCGCTAAGGAAGTCGAAGCTTTCTTCGACGGAGAGCGCCTTCTTTGGTGGTTGGAAGCACTGGCTCTGACGAGAAGCATCGGCGGCTCAGTAGTAACTCTCTCATCCACTGCAAATTGGTTTTCGGTGGGTAGCTCAAGCTCATTCTTTGACCAGCGAATTCTTACGAGTGATGGGGTGGTCGTAGGGTCGTGCCGAGTTCACGCATGTTAGTGACGCTACCAAGGATACCCTACGTTTCGTCCGAACTTTCGCAGCCACCATTTTACACAGCACTCCCCATTTATACTTGTCCGCTCTGCCGTTCGCCCCAATGCAGTCGAGAATGTTTCGCAAGTTTGCCTCAAAGTTTCCTTACACCCCCCGCATTGTTGCTGGCCATATCGAAAATTGGCCTCAGATGGAAAAGATACTCCACGCAAATGCAATGGTTTGGTCGGTTGCACTGTCGCCAAATGGAAAATGCATTGCAT